AATACCTGTCTCTTATACAAAGTGCAATATTCTAACTACTGTAATATCCAAGGTCTATATTTTAGTGGTTGTAGATTTTATGCTTGAATTCGTTAAAGCTTATTTGTATATTTTTTTTAGACCATAGAGTTATTTAACAATATTAGATGCAACTCAAATGTATTGACCATTGACAGTAAAAAATGTTTGCAAGTTCATTCTCTGCATGCACTCTTACATTTAAAATTCCTAGCACAGTGGCATTCTTGCATAAAATTTTTGCTATTTTGATAGACAAAAATATTTGGACTCGCCAAAAAAGATAATTCTGTAATGTAATTTATAAGCTACCTCTTATATTAAATGACCATTCAATGTAGCAAGCATCATCAACAAAAAAAAGTACAGTACTGATTGTCTGCTTCTTGAAATGTGAAGTATCTAGTAATAGTATTAAGTTCAGAAAGCTAAGATAATCTAACATTGAGAACAATAACGGAAATAAACTAGAAATTGCAAATTGCAAGTGGAGTGCTGCGAAGTAAAACTGCATAAAATGTTCTTCGAACAAAATTATTTAATATGCGAGTCAAGTGAAAATAATGAATAATAAAAATATAACAAATAATATGACACACGACCCATTGTCTATATTAGAACAGCGTTGGTACCGTGTACAATAGTGTTTTGCTCATTGCAGTGACATCTCGCTGCTGCTGGCGATGACTCGCTGCTGGCGAATCGATCTGCGCATGTGTATAAAATGGTATTTATTTCCGAAAACACTATGCCAGTCTACAACAAGCGTCGCCTAAATGTAATAATTAGCACGTTGAAATAGGCTAGTAAATAAGTTTACTGGGTTCTCAAAATATTGTGGCTGAGACATGAGCCGATTAAACGTAGAAATAGGAAACCTAGAAATATAGTAAAAACGCTGAATAGTACTCCAGCGTCGCGACATGCCGACGTTGGTACGAGTAGGTTAGTCTACAAACGTCGCCTAAAGTAATTGATTTTACCCGGCAGAACGAAAGAAGGAAACTCCACTTTTCAGTAGTCTTAGGCGCAGGTTTTTTGACAAACAATGACCTTTCAGAGGTCAAATTGCTGTCAAGAATATGAATTGGCTGCTTCGCAGCAATTAATAATATGATGTTTGTGGTTTTTGTTAGTGTACATTGGTCGAGCGGCTGAGTGATAAGGCAGGGCTGCAACTCACTACAGCCATAACAAGACTCCTCGACTAGAATTCTAGGGGCACTGCTAACTACAGCATTAACAAGATTCTCCTCGACTAGGATTTGGTTCTTCTCGTATAAGGACTAGTAATTGGTCCAGTGTACACATCTGGATTTTAACATATCAAATTGTTGAAATTTATTAGCTGAAATGACAAAATATATTAAATCTTGCTCAGTAGGCCCACCTCAGTAGGAACAAGTATTTTGACTTCTTGTTCACAATACCCCAGCCACATATCAATGATCCCATCTGACCTATATTAACCACTTCTTCAAGAAAGTGAAATTGATCTCAACACACGCTTCCTTAGAACACACAATCTAGGCCCTGGGGTACTCACTGGGTCAAATGGATAACACACAGAATAACATGCGACAAACATTCTTATTTTCTTTCCATTTAATTCATTTAGGATGCAGCCACAAACTTTGAACATAAATACAATCTAGTAAAATGAAAGACTCAATCTGACAAATCAATATACTAATAACAATTCAATAGGCAAATTAGGCACATGTATCAAGGTTCCAATAGATATTTTACCATCAATATTCATTTAGAACAAACAGTATTGAGTTGAGGTGAAAACAATTACAGGGCTTACAGTGGTATGTTTTAAAAATACATATGCAGTAGTTTCTCAATCAAAAAAGTGGTATTTAAAAATTGTAGGTAGATGTAAAATATGTCGGCTTACTCGGTTTATATCTGTAGTGTCAGGTTTGAAGTGAGTGATGCTTGAGATGAAATCCTGGCCTTGCTTTTGTCTAGCATAATTGTCCTGTTCTTTTTAAGGAAAATTTCAAAAAATTATTTAAGGCAATATTGATGAGGTTATGTACAGCGATGGGACCAGCAGGGGAATTAATTTTCACATTGGACATGCCAAGAGCCCCACCCTCTCAGGACTACAGTGAAAATAATTTGTTTGATAGGTCTATTGTGTTTTTATAACTGGATATTTTTTTTTGTAATTAAGGAAAAAAAAAACATTCTCTCATATTAGAAAAATGCTCCAAATTAGTCTATTAATCTGGGCTTTGCACCAGGCCACTATAGCCTCTCTCACCTCCCCCTGCACCCTCATCAAGGACTTCCTCCTGGAACCTGACTGGATGGGACCTGTAAAATATTTGGTCCTCATTTTAGATAGTGGGTTTGCATAATACTTGTAGGCAATGTCCAGGTTAGAAAAATCTGGTCAACTTTTTTTTTAAATATATTTTTTTTAAAATATTGTTTAAAGAATTGAGATGATAATGCCTGATGAATCACAATTTGCTTATTACACTACAAATGGGAAACACCATGTAGATATATTATTGGCACTAATACTTGTAGCGGGCAAATTAGTGGCATAAAATGACTTCTGGCAAGTTAATTATTGGCACAACTTATAGCAAGCCAGAGAATGTGGCAACAGACATCACGTTAATAATACGGATACAATAATATTAATGATATGATGCCATTTATGATGTGTCATAATGTAAATACTGGTCATAATGTCAATAAAAATGATGATATGATATCAATCAAACAATGACATCAATAACCGCATAGTACTAGATTTAAGGCCACATAGGAAGAATACTGTACATAACTTGGGTTATTTTCAACCATTATTTTGGCGGATTATGCTATTGTAAATTTTAATCATGAAAGCACCATCATATCTTATTTATAATTTGTCTGGTGGATATTATCTACACAGAATATACTAAATTAATTTACACTTTTATAAATCATAGTAATAATTAATTAAAGTAACATTTTGCAAGCTTGTATTTGTCTATGCCTGTTAAAATGTAAATATCCTGATCTGTTTTTTTTTCTGATTGGCTGTAATGCAACAGTGACACAGTGTACCAATAATACCTAGCGTGTGACTGAGTGGGATGAGCGCAGCCTGAGGGAAGGGGTGGAATACCATTATAAGGCCCCCACTGTAGTAGAAAAAGTACATGTCAAGTTAGGTCAAATCAGGGTCCAATAAAAATGTAAATCCATGACCCTTTATATACAAAATATACATTATTCACTATCCAGACAGTAAACATAACACCAGCATCCTTACTGGCAATATTTTAGATAAGTACAAGAAATTCATATTTACCTCATATTACAATTCTTTTAATTAAAACAATATTTATCTTTCTGATTTTCTTTGAGTATGAAAACTCAGAATTGCACCATATTTATAAACAGAAAAATCATAATTCTAAAATAAATAAAATGTATTTGTATGTATCAAAGGCATTACATCTTTCTAAGTTTCTCTATGTACTTTCAATCAGTTCTTTTTTAAAGAAATTACTGAAATGCAAGATTATATATCTCATTATAAAACTATGTGCAAAAATATCACAGAGTTGTATTAATGCCACCAATCACTAAAATCATCTTAATGGATCATTTTAACAATTCTGTCTTACAATGTAAACTATACATTTAACTACAGTACATTAGTTCCGTTGGTATTGCTCCCCCAGATAATCTTCTTTTCCCCACACCCAATTTCCCACCTCCCAAAAATGAGCATCCACATGAATCACAGGAGTCCTGATTACGTACCAGAGCCTTAATGTAACTTAGTGAAGGTAGAGATACTTCTGATCAAGAAAGTAAATCTCCGAAAAATAAAAAAATTAAAAAATTAAAAAAAACTTTAATAGTTACTTGTCCCAAGAAACAACAGCGGACTTTATTTGCAATAATTGCATGCTAATATACAACTCCATTCTGCTATAGGAAAACATATTTGCTCCTAAAATTTTAGCATGCCTCTCACTATTTTTCCCTTATTTGCCCTCCCCAGATATCAGCCACCACTGATCATATACTGTATACATATCCAATGTACATACACTTATGTATCCTACAATTTAATTGTACATGTATATTGAACCTGATTTAATCAGTTACTGCCTCACATATCTAATTTATGTGTACAAGATACATTAACACACTTTGTATTAATATATTAATGTACAGATACCATGGAGGTATTATTGAGGTCACTTAAAAAAGTGCTACGGCAATGAGTAAAGGACGAGGCTGCCGCAACTTGTGAAATCAGTCTAATGTATTCCCCACCACCAGTTGCTCAGTGGGATTAGTTTCCAAAAAATTGAACATGACTAAATATAGAGCATCTTGTTTTTTCAATGTGCACTGCTTACTGTCAATCGCTATGGCTGCGCAATCAATTCCACCTTAAACCTAATATATTTATCTTTCAAAACATATTAATATTTTCTACAAAAAAGTGTTTTGAATTTAATGAAACATTTATATGAGCCTTAAAAATATGGTATATTTCAACTTGAATTTCCATAAATTGGATAAAACTCGATAATTCTAATTTTAACAGATACTAATTAATGAGTGATTGAGGATTATAATAAACTACTAATTTTTGTGTGAACACATGTGAACTATTCGAAAATTCAATCCAATGTCAGAGTAATTTTCTACACTGGCTCAGCTTATAGTCGAAGCAGTCAATTTTTAGACAAAATTATATATGAACACAGGAACAATTGCAACAGAAATATTCTGTGGAATCTGTTCCTGACATACAGTATACAGCATTTTTTTTTTGTAATTTATACATTTTTTTGTAAATACTGCAATAATAATTATAATCATATAAATAATAATAATAATAATAATAATAATAATAATAATTATTTTATTTTTTATGGCATATGTGAATTTATTGTACTGATTTATTATTTTTTCAATATATTTTTATTACAATTTTGTAAGTGGGAACGAAGAGTTCCTGTTGGACGATTGAAATAAAATAAATAAATAAATGAAATAAATAATAACCTACTGAACGGTTTATTGCACAACTTCTGTGTTGAAGCGTTTAAAAGCTTGTTGTTCCCAAGTTGTTGCTAATGAAAAAAATGTTAATAATAAGATATACTGTACATCGCGCACGATCCAAAGGTAGGGAACACATTGGTTTGTTGCATCAAAGGGATCTGTGACCTCCTTCTTAATAATACCTCCATGCAGATACTATTTGTATACCATACATATGGATAATAATAGTTGCACCATGCAAAAAAACTATGTGTTCCATAGTGATTGAACACAGAAAAACAAATAGAACACAAAGGAGAAAAAGAAGGAAATAAAGAAATAAAGGGTAAGAAGTCGAAAAAGAAAAGTTGTTCAAGCAATTCCAGCTTGTCAATATACTGTATTTATTTGGATAAATGCCCCGCTTGGAATAAACATCCTTCTACTGTAGAACCTCATTTGAAATAAATGCCTCCCTCGAATAAACATCCCAAGACATTTATTTTTCCTCGTTAAACCCCCCACCCCTCAAATAACTGTAAACAAGTCTAATAGAAGCACCATCCTTCTCAACACATTCTATTTATGTTCTACTCCAGTAGAATTAAATTTGTTTCAACTGGGTTAGGATCAATCAGTCTTCATGATCACGCAATAACAAATTTTGGTGGTAATTGTGTGTTGGAGTTTAAAGTGAAATTAAGGAGTGTTTATTTGAGTATATAGGTATTCATTGTACACAATAAAAAAAAAACATAAACGCCTCCCTCGAATATAAACACTCCCTCAAAAACCCTTCCCAACAATATAAACGTCCTGGGGTATTTATTCGAATAAATACAGTACATAAATATATATTTATATATTTATAATTTCCTATGTGGGATTTTATTCCCTGTTGTGAACTCCTTGAATAAAATGAATCATAAACTCATATTTATCCCGACAGATTGTTCCACATTGGTTACACTGGTAAGCGTCCCGTCTCCCATGGCAACCAGTGTGCAGTACATACATGACACTGTCTGTAAAAATGATGTCACAGAGTTCACAAACATATTGAGCTGTTTGAGTTGCTGCTGCATTTAGATTCCTATACCTGGAGTTATGAGATGAGCCAACATCTTGAGAAGTAGAGGCATCCTCTGATATTATGGATGTCTTTGCTGGTGCCAGTTGCCTTATGTTTGGTTTTGTTGGCACCTTCATTTCTAATAATCCACGAATTAATGGGTTCTGAGTGCTGACTACTACTTGCGACCCAACCAAATTGTTAGCAGTTGACATCACACTGACAGGTGTGTCATGTGAACTTGGTAATGCGGATGAGCTAGTTATTGTACTGTGAGTGGACGCATGCCCTCGACGGGGCAACGACCGATTGCTCAGTCCACCCATAGACTCATAGAGTGAACCCTGTGGAAAATTAGTTTGAGTTGAACTTGGGTCCTCAACAGTGAGAGCTTGCACAACGTTAAAAGGTCTCTTCGGCCTTTCAGGTCTTTCTGCCTGGAAATCACTCCTTGATGATTGAGAGGTCATGGTAGTTGAAGAGTGCACAGCAATTGTGGAGCAACCTGCCGATGCAAGTTGGTTTGAAGAATATCGGTGAGAGTTTGACTGAGAAACTCTGTGATCTAATGAATGATTAGTGTTAACCTTTTCTGTCACTCTCCTGTTAGTGTTGGTGCTAGAACTATTACCCATCTCCTCATCATCAGAACCAGACCTCATCCAGTTTGAAATTCGGTTTTTCATGCTTTCATCAGACATTGATTGTGAACGTGTGCGCTTACTGGGGCCCTCCAGACACACACCTATATCTTTTTGTTTGGCACGAGGTTTAAAGTTCTTATCATTCATGCGTAATTTATTTTTGTGTTTTCTCTTCAAGTGAGTGGAGAGTTTTGCTATGGGATAACTTGTTTTTCTAAGTCTCTTTTGTGAATCTGAAGAAGACTGAGCTTCACAGGTTTCTTGAGTTGGTCTTGTCTGCCAAATTGGTTCCCGATTTGTTGTGGTTCTTGGTTCCTTCAGTTGCTCTGCAATATTGCGCAAAAGTGAGCTGATCATGCCCTGGCTCTGGTTCAAGTTCTGCAATATACTGGACCCCTCTTCTGAAGATCCTTGATGATCTTGGGGACCAGATGGAAGCAACATCTGCTCAAAAAGGGAAAGTTGTCTTGTGTTCTGATCTGCATTTCCTGTAAGCTGATCTTCAAGGTTTTGGTTTAATGGCAGATCACTGACTTCATCAATAGAGGAGGTATCAGATTTAAAGAATGTTCTACTCTGCTGCACGTAGTATAAATGGTGATTACTGACATCAATATCCACAGGTTCCTGCTTGATTACTACACTTGATGATGGTTCTTCAACTAAAACATGCTTCCTTTTTGACATCATACATTTATGCTGATCCTGGGGATATGAGCCATCATCTTCGTCAATCGGTTCAGCTTTCACATAAAAGTGACCTCCTTCTGCAGCTGGTGCAAAGTCTGTTGGTGAATGAGAAGGATCTGTGTCATTACTGGTCCCCTGACTGCCATCATTGTCCATATTTAACTCTGGCAAACAATTTATTTGACCTTTATAATTCTGATATTCATCCTGAAATTCTTGTGATCTTACTGCATCTCCCTCTATGTCATGAACATCATTGGCAGGACATCCTTCCTGACTGAGAAATCCTTTTGCCAAGGAGTTTGTCTCTTTACTTTCATTACCTTCCTGTTTAAAGGTTTCATGAAAGCTTTTTCCATCACTTATTGTTCTACTGTCATTTTCAGGTATTTTTAACAGAGTTTGAACTGGTAAAATAGGGTTTGAAATTTTTCTAGCTGTATCATTACTTCTTTCGCCATCTATTGTTGCCTTAGCAATTACAGAAAAGTTCCTTAAGAGATTTGATGATCCTTCATAGCTTGCAATACTACAATTTTCTGAAACTGGATTCAGTGACTCCGAAGGAGGTATGCTCAACTTATCAACTGCTTCTGCACTACAAACAGGCTCTGTCTCAGTGGTATCAACTTCCAATTGGCTAGAGCTTCCAACAGTAGCCACACTGCAGGCTTTCTCTGCATCTGTGACAAACTTCTTAGGGTCAGAGTTCTTTCTTTTTTTATGTTTACCTGGCATGGCTGATAAAGCAATACGAAGTACAAGATTCTCAGAATGAGAATTGTCAGCTGGTAGAGTACAAAGCCACAGTCGTTCTGCCTCAACAGGATTTTCTTTAACAAATCTTTTACAAACTGCAAATTAAAATATTTTCATTGATCAAAAAAATTAAGATTGGAAAATCTGACTTGGTTAATGATTATGAAAAATATTACATGATTAACAATAAGGTAATAATAGTGTTCAATTACAAATTATACAAGCATGTGTATGTGTACAATTTATGTGTAGATATGGGATGCGACAGGGATTTGGTTGGGGTATGTGTTGTACATGTGTGGATGTGGGTGTGTGCGTATGGTTATTGTCAATTACTAACCTAGCATCATTGATTCTGACACTGGTTCCGAGATCCCAAGATCCTCATCTGGAAAGGTTTTCAGGAAATCATGGAGAGCCAGTAATGCATGACCCTGTCTCCTATGAGTGGAGTTGATGTATACAGTGTCCAGGATAGTCAGCTGCCAAGATAATGCTTGTGACTGGCTTCCACACCATGTACCTTTACGATATAACAAACCATATATATCAAATTATTTCACCCGGTTTAAAGATAAAGGTTTAAAAAGGTAGGAGAATAACCCATAACTTGCAGCGTCATTGTGCTAAATTGCGTATGGACGTGGTCCATGACTACCTGGCCACCGTAAAGAGGCGCTTATGTTAGGTTGTAGTTCACATCATTCCAAAATGACAGGGGCTGAAATGAACCATAACATCAGGGTAACCCCTACTCTTCTGAAAGATGCAATGGGTTCTTTAATGTGCACACGAGGCAGATGTGTACACTATCTGGGCAAACTTCATCTCTTAACCAAACCCTGATTGCGGAGCAACTACTGGCGTAGATGTTAAGGCAGTAGTTAGTGGTACACCCCACAAAACACGCCTCAAATTTACACTGATTAATACAATAATTTACTGTGAGCCACGAAAAACAGACAATCACAGATTGTGTGAAATCCCTTTAATTTTTTAAAGTTTTAATCTGTAATTATTTTATTATGTACTATTTTGATAATAAAATAATCTGTAATTATTTTATTATCAAAATAGTACATAAATAAAAGGATCAAATATCATAAATTATTAATTTCTTATGCCAGACGAATACAAATAATTCATAAGGTTTGCTTATTTTGCAGGCTTTGACTACAAAAATCCTTCATTTGATTTACTAGCCAATTACACTTCTATGCAAAAAACATTGCATCTGTTAATTTGGTAAAAAAAATATTTTCTTCTAGAAAAATAAAAAAAAACCTAAAATTGTAATCACTTTAAAATTACTATAAAGTTAAACATAAAAATGAGGAAATATTTTCATCACCAACTTCTGTTTTTTTGTATTGGAATTACTACTAAACATTGTTATTCAGTGGCTGATTGGCATATATCAATCAGCTGTGAACCAATGTGCCTGTGGAATATGGCGCTGTTTTAAAAGGTAAAAATGATAATTGAGATAATTATCAATGAATAAAAAACAATCAAATTCATCCATAAAATATGCATTCGACTTGCTCTAAAATGGTATTGAATATTCTCTAATACTAATAAATACAATATTCTTTTGCAATTTGATTTACACTGATTAATAAGGTCATAGTACTACTATATTATAAGAATGACATTATAATTGTTATTAATCAGTAAATTTCCTGTCTATTGTTAAATGCCTGAAGTATTAAGCAAGTCTCATTAATTGTTTATTATTATCATCACTTTAATGAGGGTGAACCCCAATCAGTGTCATACAACATTCCATGAGACACAGATCAAAACAGCTTTTTAATATGAAAATCCTTAAACTAATTACCAGCAAATACAAGGGGTTATGCAAAATGCAGTATGAACAATTACTGTTTATGCCAAGCTGTTAACTGATGGGTGAGAAACACATTTTTTTCATTTTAGTTTTAACTTGAAAGCTTTAATAACTTTAACTTAAATAAATAAAGGTAAACAATTCAAACTTTATTCTTCAATTTTTTGTATGCATTTTATCATTTTAATATATATTTCTTATATATTTTCTTATTCTATTTTTGCATGCTAATATCCTATTTAAATATCAATTCTATTTTATTGAGTTTTCTTCTTCAAGTTTTATATTTCTTATATTTTCTTATTCTAATTTATATATTTTTTTCATTAAAGCTAAACTTATTAAAATACAAAGTAAGCAATTCATATATTGAGTTTTATTCTTCAACTTTTATTCGCTCAACACAGAAGTGCATCAGTTGGAGTTAAATTCAATCGTAAGCTATCCCATTAACATTTCTCACCTCTTTCCTTCACTGTGTAGAAACCAACTGCAGTATTATTTATCCAGAGGAGTTTTGCGTACTCGTTAAACGCGTGAGGTAAAAATTCTGGATCGTTGGCTTTACGGTCCAAGACTTTGTACAGAATGTTATTCAGAACACTTAATGCAATTCTCTCACCAGTACTTGACACCTGTCCATTAATCAAGAAAATATAATTACTTAATTATTTGATAATATTAATTACTTAAATAACTGATAATTTTTGCCATTACTTTAATTGATAAAATATTTCAGAGCAAATATTTCCATTATTACTGGAAATATTAATATTCCAACTAACAAAGATACATTATGGCCATATACTACACGATATAGGCCCACTGTACACAAACACATCCTTCCCTGCTTTTGTGGGCGTACTGTATTCCCAGTCATGCAAAACAATCAGCAAACAATAAACTCAAATAAACATTTATATACTCACAAAATAATAATAACTACATATTAGAAAATGCAATTTAAATTATTTAAATCATTTTTTTAAATTATTATAAATAACTATAATCATAAATATTAAAATTATTTAGACTACTGTACTCACACTTAATTTAATTATAAATGTAAATATATGTATGTTATAATTATTATTATTATTTTATAATTCAGCGATCAAAACATGATATGATAAATATCCGGTAACCTTTAGGACAGCTGATAAATGCATTAGTCAATTCATACTGTGAATGTTCATGTTTTCTGGATACTGATAATAAAATTACTTTAAAATGTCAGTAAAAATATTTAGTATTAAATAATAACAAAATTAATCATGACAAAAACACTCAGAAATAAGTAATTAAGCAATTACTTCAGATTCATCAAAAACATAATTTATATGACACAAAGAAATACATTGATAGTAAAACTGTTCAAATTCCTTGAAATAAACATTAATGTTTAGTATTTAATAATGCTACAACCAAAATAACAACGTATAATTGAGGTTTCAACATAAACACAAATTTGTCATATATTCCTAATGATCAGAATATTATCCTCAATACAGCACACACATTATGTTAGCACATGTGTTGAAGCGTATGTGCATAGAAGAAACTATAAACCGTGCATAACTAACAACACATAAACATAACACAAAGAGTATCTTTATGAATATTAAATCTACTAAACAAGATGATTTACTGTACCTCTAAAATACTACAACCTCGTAAAGATAATATATTTTAGATGCTGACTGTACCCATGAGCAAACACACAAACAAGTACAAACACAGAAAGAAGGGTTGTCACGGTAAAAATAATCTCAACTAGTGACCTTTGGATAAATGTTCACAAATCAGCATATCCTGAGTAAGGTCAAAACTACGAGGTCAAGGAAATAGGTCACACGCTTATTAGCATGACCATATTTGGCTATAGCTACAGCTATGATTCACATCATGACATTTAACCTTCCTATTGTTTGAACTCTGTACAACTAAAGCAGAGAAATTGGACACAGGCCAAAGTTCAAAGGAATACTGGTTTCAACCAGTTATTTTAAATGAGCAAAATGCAAAACACTCAAAAAATCCTATAGCAGTACTGTAATATGTTGAACAGGTTACATAATATAATTATATAAAAAAAGAGTAGTTCAATCAATCAAACAATGCTATATATTTCTCTTCCTATTTGTTGTTACATAAAAATATAATCAGTTTGTAGGAGGACATAAAGACTCATAAACATAATTATTATGATATAACATAGATAATGTTCTTACTGTAAATTTTGGCTGTGTAATATATACTTCTTAGAATTGTGTATTTACTTTCTAAATTTTCTTTTTTAAGAACATTACAGCACTTTATCACATATGAAAAGTAGGTCACTCGACCATTTTGGTTGACAAAATATTAAGGTCTATTATATATTCAATATTATCATCATTACGATTTAATAAGTAAAATGCTTTGTTTTGACCTCAGTGTTGGCAATAGACCAATTCGTTTGTTAGCCTACATTTTATTATGTATATACTATGTCATTAATAAATTATCTCCAGTAATACCGTACCTAAAAAATAATGTTCCTATATTTTGTGCTCTTTATTGTAATTTGGTGTTTATAAGAATTTTTTGTCAATTAGAAATAGTGCGGAATTTACGATATAATAAATTGAATAAATTTTGAATTGAACCAAACCCTGATATTAACAATAAAGACAATTCAAATATTAACAATTAATAAATGTTCAAATAATTTCTTCTGGTTTTTGAACATTATTATTGAATGTCAAACTTACTCAGCTCTTGAGTATTTTACATTTTCTTGTTCAAAACAAATAAATATAAATGCTAGGCTCCTGGCGGCAGGGTGTTTCTACTGCTTGATATAGGTTTTTTAGCGACAGTAGGCCTAATTATACATTATTTTGGTTCTTTCTAAAACAGGCATGATATCATCATGGAGGAATTAATTTCAAGAGGCATACTTCATAGAGCCAGTTGCATAACTCTTCAACCTCATGAGAAAAAAGCAAGACTGTTCACTTCTATATTTGGCTAGGGTACATACCATCATTCATCCAACCAGATTTACTCTTACAAGTATAGAAAGTATAAGAAAATGCTTTTTTAAATCATTGTTCCCTGATTAAGTAATTGCCTTCTTTCTAGATGACATGACCGATAGGGGTCATGTCATGTGCCCACTGGACCTCCTCAGCATTGCCAGTGATGAGTATTCTTATCCACGGAAGTGAAAATGTTAAACATTAAATTGGTCATTTATAAAAGTATTAAATAAGTTATCTGTTTTCAATGTTACACAGAATTAATATTGTTTGGTTTTACATACTTTTTTACTGAATAAACTTACAAATAGCCCAATTTAATTGAGTCTTAAATGATAACAAAAGCCAAGTGCATGGGTTATATTGCATTTACATCCTTTGTTGAAAATTTGGCATATTTACATTGTTACAATTTAATAAACAACCATATTTACTTATCATTTAACAAAGAAAACAGTATTGAAAGGCTACTTAATACATTATGAGATGAAAGTAAAATTAGTCTTGCATTTACCTTTTGGAATCCATTTGGCCTGTTCCTGCCACATATTAGTACTTCATCAATGCTTAGCCAAACTCCCTGGATCTGCAGTAATCCAACTGATATAACCAAGGTTAATGTATGTTGGATAAATGTCAAATTTTTACATAATGTTTCTAGGGGTTAACAAATGGTTTTTTTTATAAAGATATACTGTTTTTGTTAAACAAATAAACATGAATACTAAAATTTGAATTGCATATTCTAAATATTTAAGTTATCAGATTTTAAATTGAAAATAAGAATTTTAAAATATATTCCTTGCCTTTCTAACTTATACAGATATATAAATAATACTGAACCTATTTTGCATAGACCATTAAAGAGGCTGGTCAATGTAAGAATTTCTGTATGTAAAATGTCTGATTCGATTTGCGTCTTACAAACTCCATAGCTTATTTTATTTTTTAAATGAATATAATTCGGAGTGTTTCACTGTTTTCAAGATTTTACTATGTATGTGTTCAACCAGTGCTACCAAGATATTATCACTTGAATAAATTATTCCACTTTTTTTCAATCAGAGACAAGTAAACACTAACAGGAAATCCAATAATAATAATAATAATAATAATGTCTATTTTATCATGCATATTACTATGTTCCATTAATTAATGTGAATGAAATATCCTATGTTCATTACATTGACTTCAAATTCTGTACTAAAAACACAAATTGCAAAATGGAAATATTTTTCCAGTTAATTTTTAATTGATAGTAAATTAGACAGTAACTGGTGGTAGGCACAGTGTGTGTATGCTGAGCTCTGGAGATCCCTATCTGTCCACATTATCAAATTTTCTTTGACAAAAGACTGTTTATGCCCATATATAGTCATGATGTGCCTATATATAGCCATGATGTGCCTATATATGGTGATGATGTGATGTCATCATAGGCATGTTTTTGTCAAATAAAATTTGATAGTCTGGACTGGGCTTTTATACCTTACAGAAACCCTGGTTTAACTCCACTGATGCTTTCTTGTTGTTTAAACTGGAGGTTTAAAATGCAAGTTTTGATGGTACACCACAATTTGGAAGAGATGTTTAGTTTAATTAGTAGGTTTAATTTTATAGGGTTACACACCTTTTTTGTCTCTCTTACTTTACCAACATATTAAACTCAAAGAGCTCAATCACAAAGCGCACAGGATTTTTTGCATGATGTACTATACAAATCCAAATATATTACTATTATTATTAGCTATTGGTCGTGCACATATATATTTGGCTTACTTTTAAAAGATTTGTTCCATTTTTCACTAAAATAACAAATTTACACTCTTTAAAAAGAGCAGAGATTGTCTCCTGATGTCCTAACTACCTGACTCTTGGTAATACCATTATTATTGCTACACAGGATTGAAAAATGAAATTTAAATATGGGATTAAAAAGAAATAAAATCCAATACGGGATTGAAAGGGAATTAAATCTAACATGGGATTGAAGGGTAAATAAAACATGGAATTGAAAGAGAATGAATTCCAACACGGGGTTGAAGGGAATTAATTCTAATATGGGATTGAAGGGAATTAAATATAACATGGGATTGAAGGGAAATAAATCCATCTAACATGGGATTAAAGGGAATTAAATCCAACATGGGATTGAAAGGGAATTAAATATAACATGGGATTGAAAGGAATTAAATCCAACAAGGGATTAAAGGGAATTAACTCCAGCTTTGGATTGAAAGAGAATTGAGAACATGGGCATGAAGGGAATTAAATCTAACATGGGATTAAATGGAATTAAATCTAACATGGGATTGAAGCGAATTAAATCCAACATGCAATAAATAGAAGGGAATTAAATCTAACGTGGGATTGAAGGGAAAAAAATCCAACATGTGATTACAAGGGAATTAAATCCCACATGGGATTGAAAGGAAATTAAATCTAAGATGGAATTGAAAGGGAATAAAATCCAACATGGGATTGAAAGGGAATTAAATTCAACAAGGGATTTGAATTAAATCTAACATAATATCGAAAGGGAATTAACAACATGGGATTGAAAGGGAATAAAATCCAACATGAGATCGAAAGGGATTTAAATCCAAACATAGGAATGATGCTTCTTTCTAACATAATGTTATTTAAGTTTCACTTTCGGAAATGACACTATCCATTTTGTAATGATGACTAATGCCAAAGTCAACAATATTTCAATGAGATTCATTAATCCTGTATGAATGGACTTGACCTGACTGAATCATCTGAGCACTGTACAGTATACTGGTGCCAGTGGGGAGGGGGGCAATGATCCAGGGTTAACCGTAAACAATTTTAAAATATGAAAAATATATAAAAAAAATTGCTGCATTGCTACAGATAGCACTTCCTTGTAACCAAGGCCAATGGCTTGACCTGCTACTAATGTTATGACAATATTTTAACAACAATAATAAAAAACAAAATAGTGATTAAAACAAAAATGGTGAAAGTAAACATGGTCATTGGGTCACTTAGTCCAGGTTCACAGATTATGACTTAAGTCTAGGAGCTAGTATCTTGGTGCCTAGAGAAACTAGGCAATTTTGGGCAGTTTCATGCTGTTCTGAAGTGTTTTAGTCCATATTATTACATTTGTAAAGAATCTACAAAAAATAGGGTTTTTTTACAAGGAGATCCAAGGTGGGGCTTAAGCCCACCTGCAACTTTATTAGCTTGCTTCTAGTGTTCTCTAAATTTGTCTACAATACAAAGCAAACCTTTTTATTTTTGGATATAAACAATATGTATTTCACTTACTTGGGCAATCTGTACTTTTACATGGTATTGCAGGTAATCTAACAGAGTTTGTGTCATAAACACTAAATTCAACAACATTCACATCTGACAAATTTATCTATGAAAATAAAATAAAATTGAATTAAAAATTAAAATTACAACTACAAAGAACTTTCTTGTTGTTACATAAAGCGTGTTTAAAAAAAGTATGAATTCTTGGCATCCATCGAATGGTCATTAAAATACACGAGTCATAATGCGGGTCAAATTGTTTTGCCCTTGGGCAAGACAATTCATGTAACGTCTGTCTCTGTTCAACCAAATGGAATGGGGTACCTAGCAGAATGGGAATAATATGCAGATTAATTTTTTTTATTCTGAAAGTGCCATCTAGAAGTGCCAGATATAGAATTTTGTACCTCAGCCCCAACCATGGTAGGGCTGAGGTGGTCCATACCCTCCATCTGTAAAATTTTCTTTCTGGGCCCCTTCCATTTCTGGGTCTGCCGCTGATGTGAATGATTCTGGAATGGAACTAAATGGTGCTAAATTGTCTGCATAGCAAGGAAAACTCGGACAGCACAAAAAATGAAGTTGTTTCGGCATGTATCCAACAACCACTAGTAATAATCATCTTAACCTCGGTATAGGTCACTAGATAGATGGCACACGATATAAATGGATATTATATTTTATAACACACCAAATAAATCCTTGTTCTTTGATTGGTGGATTTAATGCAGATGTTCAGGCAATTTGCTCCAATCCACTTAACGTGACATTAACACCATATACTCAAAATGAGAAAACAAAACTGGGGTAAAGTGTTTGCATGATACTTACTGTATAGGATCACTCTATTTTCTACAGCAAATTTTAATAAATATAATTTTATTTATTAGGTCCGCGCAGGTGGACCTCTGAAAATCACTCTTAATTGTTCTAGTTCTTGTCATTGTTGTTACCAGAACTTTAAAAGCATCCAGCATCACCAGTTTTGAATGGACATTCAGGAAATTTTGTACACATAAACATTCATGGCCCATTTTTTAAGTTGGACCACAGGTTGCCCTATACACCAAAAAAGACAAGGGGGTTTCAGCAAGGAATGTACATTACTGCCATTACTACTAATAGGAAATGTCGCATGGATGGTGTGGTCAGTTAATGATGTGTTCTAAAAAACCAAAACGGCAAAAAACCAAAACGGCAATGGCCCAAAACGGCAAGACCTAAACAGCCATAAGTCAAAACGGCAATAAACCAAAACGTCAACACTTTTAGACCGGCAACAGACCAAAACGGCGATAAGTCAAAACGGCAAGACCCAAACGGCAATAAGTCAAAATGGCAATAAACTTCCAGAATGACGCACTGTATGTAATTGGCAAAATAGCTAAATAAAATACTACTAGGCTACAATTTATGTCATAAAAGTAAAAAAGCGCGAAAGAAAAAAAAAACACTTTAAAGAATAACAACATTAATAATAATAATAATAATAATAATAATAGTAATAATAACAACAACAATAATACAACATACAAATTCAATAGTAAGAAAGATTGGGGAAACAATATATAATATATACAATATAAAACAATGAACATTGAACCTAAAAATACAGATAGTATGAGGCTAAACAATTTATGTCATGAAAGTAAAAAAGGGAAAGAAAAAATAATAATAATAATAATAATAATAATAACAATTAAAATAACGAAATAATTCGTCATGGATGTGTAAAAAAAAAACAAAAACAAAAACAAAACAATTCAGAAAATTATAAACTGCTGTCTGCGCACGGTGGCGCTTCAGTCTTGGCATTGATTTTTGCTCCTTTCCCGTTTTGGTCTGTTGCCGTTTTGGTACTTATCATTGCCGTTTTGTTTTATTGCCGTTTCGGTCATTGCCGTTTTGGTTTTTGCCATTTTGTCCAGAAGCCATGACACGCCTCCACCTAATACAATGTTTTATCCATTGGAAGAAGGAATGTTCCACTCAGAAGTTAGACCTAACTATCAAATAACACAAATGTACAGTATTTTATGCGTAGTGTATTAAAAACCAAATAATGAATGTTTCAATTCAAGCAATGGAGAATATTCTTTTAAGGAGGACTGTTCTATTTAACACAGCTCCACCTCATTAAGTCCGTCTTTAAATGCATGAAATTATTCTTCCATTGCACTAATTCATTATCTGTTAGAATTACAGTACTTACTTCATTTCCACACTTTTTACAAAAATACACCGTGTTTGTCTGACTGTCTCTGCTATCAACCTTTGTATTGAGATCCTCCTTAGTAACAATAGTATCCACAACATACATCTTTACTTGTACAGTTTTTGACTAAAATGAGAAAAAATGAGAAGATTTAATTTTATTCTTTTATCAATTAATCAATTAAAATTAATCATCTGGCAGAAAGCAAAGTACAAAAATGTTAAGACTAAAGCAGAGCACTTACTGCATCGTATGATGTTCAATACAACCGTCGATGGAAGATCTGTAAAGATCGCCATTAAAAACGATCCATAGCGTGCGCATTGTGGTGTTGCCGTTCTTCATAAGATTGCGTCGGCCAACAACTGCAGGGTGCAGTAAGTACCCGGCTTAAGCTAGATTTACACTGACAAGATAACGACACTGAAAAAATAATGGCCCGTGGTCGGTCCAATACATCCACCAAATGAGGTCTAGCACCATAGGCCTTGCCCATCCGGACCCATCTGGACCACTTCAGCTGGCTGGAATTTGACATGCGGTCGATCTGCTCAAGTTGGCTCAGCCTAGCTAAATGACCCAGTCGAACGATCAGGTCGAGTTGGGTCTGTCTGCCACTTTCAGCCATAGAGTTGCCATAATCATAAGATTTTTGGATTTGATTTTTCTTTATATAGTAATGTACGAAATCAAGTGTGATGAGAACTTTCATTTTTCACTTTCTGTTCCAATATATAATTTCCATAATCCCACATTATTTTCTGTATTCAAGGGAGAGTAAATGTCACAAAAAAAAAAAAAAAAACATTTTACGAATCGGCTACCTAAGTTATATAATTCTTTGTGTAAAGTTGATTTTTCTATTGGTACTGGGTCATTCCGTGCCAACTCAACAAATGAGATGGCTGGGTACTGTCTGACGAACAAACCCAAATTTCGACTTGCCAATTCCAAGTCGTTTAGAAGTTACGGCCATTTAAAATTTTATGGTCATACCCCTTTTTAGCTCTCAATTATGACATATTTGTAAAGTTGCATTTTCAATTAGCCATATCTTCAAAATTTAAATTTAATAGAATAAAGATAATTTACTGGAAATTGATATCTAGACTAACTTTTGGCTGTAGAACAGGAATATGACATGACTTTTGTTATACCGGACCCCGTTAAGAAAATATTGGTTCGTAAGGACCCTAACTTATTTGGTTGTGTAATTTTTCTTCCATTTTTAGACCCCATTAAAATACCCAAATCAGTTATTAAATGGGTCTTATGCAACAAATTATTAATATATAGTTGAAAATGTTTCACCACAAAAAATTCCGGATTTTTAACATTTTAGGGGGTAGTCGTAGGTCAAAAGGTCATTCGGGACAAAAAATACACAAAAATGCCTTGTTTTCAAGGGGACCTTTGACCCTGTGGGCAAGTACGCTTGTTGTTAAAATTTGCACCTTTAATTAATTTATATATGATGATCAGATGTTCCAAATATCAGCTTGGTGTCTTTATCCCTTCATGTTTAAAAAGCGATTTGAAAAGGGGTATATTTTTCAATTTCTGACATTATCAGTGCGTAAATGTGACAAAATTAATTTTTGAATAACGATAATATTAAAAATTATCTGCCTAGACCCTTGAAACTTATAATTCTAAAACAACTTTATGTGGTTACAAATGCATGAACCAATATTTGGTTACCAAATGCCATAGGCATATTTTTATATTCATTGATGTTGAAATGAAATGTAATGTACGATGTTGCAAGTTAAAGTGAAAAATATGGTTTATCACGCAAAACATAAAACTGAATAGTTTATTAAAAGTAAACTGCTAGAAGCTGTTTTAGGCCTATGATGATGATGGATGCACCACGAGTCGCAAAACAGTGTTTGAGCACCACAGTACTGTACTTTCCCACCCAACCACGGCGCAAACACAGCTCAGTCCATGCATACACACGCATCGAAGGCTTAGAAATAAAGATCAGTACGAACACTGAAAAATGGTGGAAACTAATCATTATACTATACCATTTGCTCAACCTAGAAAGTAATGTAATGGTTAATTACATCGTCCATACATTCATTTTGCTGAATTTTTAGTTCATTCTTCAAGCAGGAATCAGAGTTGTTGACAGAGTGCGAGAGTAAACGCCGCGCCCTTTAACCCTTCAGAGGTCAATGAATCATAACAAACAGAAATCTGCTAGCTGTGCGTTGGGTAGTCGGGTTCGGGCCAGAATCATTTCATGACACCTCAGCTAAATAAATCTAGATAATTTGAGACTGAAGTAACTGAGATGCCCGACAAAAAAACAGTTATAGTCACTGGTAACTCATCTTTTGTCTTTCAATGTCTAGACTAGGCCTATATTAAATTTAGAATAGCAACCTCGTTTCGAACGCCTGAAACCTAGGCTTAGGCATACCGTCAGTTTGAGAAAACAGGTCGCGACGACAACAAAGAAAGAACTCCTATTTTCTAGTTGCATGCCTCTGAATTTACTGTAGATAGGGCCTAGTTATAGTGCATAGTTTGAAGTTAGTCCATTGCGTTCTTGACGACATGAAGCAACTTGGTATAAATAAATGTTTTTAGTAATTTCAAATTCTACTTTTTATTGTGCTACACAAATTAGGCACTGCAAACATTAACATTCCGATTTCTGTAACTTTAATTAAAGAATACATATCAATATTCTGTTGACACCATTGTTGCCTTTGTTACAAAATAAAGAGAATGTAAAACAATAAGAACGGGCACTCTCTGAGCAAAAGTGCTCACTGCGGAAGCGCGTCCTTCCTTTTGTCGCTCCTTACCAGAAATAATATTGTATCCAGGGGAAACTTTAACAACAGGAGTTATTATTTGTTATTGTTTTGCATTGGGGGGTAACAGTGACGTAAGATATGTCACATGATGAGTTACCGTGGGAAAGCGATAGACAGACAGATGAGTGATGCCTCGTTGTGAGAGGTCAGTCTCGAATAAATGATGTTTATACTAGCTAATTATTTGCTGTTGTAGGATTATTGTTTGGTGGCGTCTCCCGTGTTTAAGTAACGCAATATTGCTAGACTGGATCAGATGTTACAAAACAACCGGAAGAAAAAATCCCAGAGTAGAAAAAAGTTGGGTTTTAACTTTCATATCACAAGACAGCTTAATTTGGTGTAGGCCTATGCAAGGAGTTCGCACACCAACCTTCAAAATAAATTTCTTTCTAAACTCATGTACAGTACTAAAGTCATTTTCTAAACAAGATTTTACTTTTAACTTTTAAACATTTTCATGTCTGTATTTTATGCACAGCCTGAGGGAAGAACAGAGGCTTGGTTGAGTCTGGGCTACAATAAATGGACAGCATCCAGCTTATATGTGATATCATCTATATAATGTTTGTTTTATTTGTTATGATTTCTAATTGTATTCTTACAATTACATGTATATTTATTATTAATTTGTCTTGTCAAATAGGCTATCATTTTATTTTTGCATAGGATTTGGTCCATTTGGAGATCACAAGATAAATGCCAGTTGGGAAGCAGTTAAGGAACTAACAACTTTAAGTCTGCAGCCAGACATCAATTTAGTGGTTGAAGAGATCCCAGTGGAATACAAAATAGTCAAAGAAAAAGTACCAGCTCTGTGGGAATGCCATGAACCAGATGTAATTTAAATTTATTTTATACAATTGGGGCAAAGACAAGCCAAACCAGTCACTCATCTCAAAAAATTATTTTTAGTTATTAATACAGTATTAATACAGTTAAACAGTAAAATGAGAGCTATAAAATGGTAAAAGAATCCGACATTTCATATGAAGTAACAGGATTTTAAACATGCATCTGCTTAAAGAACAATATTTGAGAAACCAGCCTTCAAAGTTTATGATTTTAATTTAGGAAATTCGTAGGCAGAAACCATCACCAAATCATTAACAATTGTTGTTTTAAAGCCCCCATTTAGAAAAAATGCATATGCATTACTCTAATTATTATAAACCATGGAAAAATATTGGCATAAATGTTAGTTTTATGCAAAAAAAATTTAAAAACGAGAAATACACACTATTTCTCATAGGAGTTGCCATTTTCTCGACGAATTCTTCGTTACTAAGCAAATTCAGGTTGTAGATCGCATCCGCTAGAATGCTCTCGCTTTTATGTATACTTTATACAGTCAATAAAGTGTGCCCTCTCTAATGAGATTAGTTTTTGTACTTCGCATCTCGCACACTGTGGTCCATCGAGTAGGCCTGAGATGTTTGTTTAATTGTCAAAATCTCGGTCAGAATCATTTTTGAAATAAATTTGAAATACTGTAGTTCCTATGAAATATTATATTTCACAAATGTCAATACTAGCAAAGTAAAATATCACGTTGGTCGTTTTTATGTGTGATAACAGAACCTTAAATCGAGGTAAGTTGGATAGGCTAATGTTTCTGGCGCCTACAGTACTATATTTCTTTGCAGACCTATCGCAAAATCAAACCTTTAAAAAATTTGTCCGCATTTGTTTTTTGTGTGAAGCACAAAAAAAAAATCAAATTTCAGTCTTATTTCACACTTTTTTCATAATTTCATATTATATTTTAAAACATAACATAACTTTTTAACACATATAAAAATCAGATTTTTCTTAACAACTGCAATCTTGCCAGGAAAATACATAGCATGTTATATAGACATAAAGGTTAGTTTAGTGTAAAAAAATAGATTAAAAAAATTTTGATATTCCAGCATGTTTTGGCCATTATCTCTGAAACAGAATTTGTGACTAGTGACTGGTTTGGCTTGTCTTTGCCACAATTTATTATGAACTTTTTGATTGCTTGATTTAATATGTAAATGAATTTTATGAATATTTATTTATCGTCAGCTTATGGTCCATGTTGGAGTGTCAGGCTTAGCTACTGAGCTTACTTTGGAGCAGCAAGCCCATAATGGCCCATATGACAAACCAGATGTCAGGTTTATGATACCCAGAAACATGGTATGTTGTTGAGGCTTACAGAATATTGACATTAATTTATATATTATTTTAATTTATTATCATGGCTTAAAATATGTATACAATTAAAAGATATTTACTAAGAAACACATTGTAATATCAACCTTCACCTACCATGAAATTCACATTAAAAAAAATCAAATACAAATGGATACAGATAAAATTGAAAACAAGTTAGGAATTGTTTGTAGACAGTGACAGAGCAGAGTGTCAGGTCAGTAGCAAAGGCAATAAAAAAAAATTATTAACACAATCTATTGAAAAAAAGGATTCTGTGGTCTGTCTTTTGTGGAAATTGATTTATACACAGTAATGGATAACAACTGTCAGGTCAATTACGGAGGTCATCAAAAAGGTCAATAAACCCCTAAAATAACAAATTTAGCTTTATTAAGACTGCAAAATCTATTTACAGCAAACAAAAATTAGACTAAAAAAAAGCTGTTTTTATGCATTATTTCGCATTATTTCCCTATCTTGAAGCTGTTTTCATGCATTATTTTGCAATATTTCCCTATCTTGCAATCAGAGAGTTAACAGCTGATAAAAAATATTATAAAAATTTAAAAAGATAACTTTTTAATTTTGATTGTTTTTCTGATTATGTTAAAGTGTTGTATGGAGAACGGACCTCAACATATTGAGAGTCGGATTAAGATGGCATATGTATGCCACAACATTAATATATCACAATGTCCAGTGAAGTCCGTCGTCTCACACAATCCAGGAAGGTAATAGTAAATACACAAACATTTATTTACTTATCTTAAAAAAAATTTTTTTTAAAGATAACTGTATTTATAGAAGGTGAGATTTCCAGCTATAAATATATGATGATGATGATGACGATGACGACGACGATGATGAAGTTATAATATATTATAATGTAATATTAAATATATGTAATTGAATAATGTTTTCTAAATATAATATATATTATGCTGTTATTTAATATTATATATATAGAATTGAATAATGTTTCCTAAAATTGATTTATTCTTCTTAGGTACCTATGTGATTTTATATACTATACATCCTTGCATCATATACATGCAAAATCTGGCCAGGGCAATGCTGCATTTATCCATGTTCCACCGCTTGGTAGGCCTTACACTGCCAAGCAGCTCGCAGAGGGCCTCAAGTTAGCCATCCTTAACATGTTACAGCAGAGCGATTCAGCAAGTGAAGATATCCCAGAATGTAACTCATGGCAATCAATTGCCACATGATCCAGGCTAAGGTATCCTATAATAATGTGAATTAATTGAGTTGTATATTTGCATGAACCCATACCATCTTGCCTATGATTTATGAATATTAATGAGATATAATTACCATAATGTTAGAGATAAGTATTTCGTATATTCTATTCATTTACTGTTGCTTTATTATTAATCTAGATTTAATAGAAAAAAAAAATTAATAATGGCAGGACATCTTATAAAAAAAAAAAATATGTATTTAATAATAGAATTAATCTTAACATGTATTATAAATTATAATAGTTGCTTAGAAATATGGTCTTGAATATTGACCTATATTAGAAAATTTGAAACTTAGGGAGGGCCAATGAAAAAATACCCAAAGGACCAAATAAGAGGTTATCCATGTTTTTAAAGAGAAAACAAATTATACTGATTACTGTGAACACCCTCCTTTTACAGATACAAGATAATAGTTTCCCTAATAAGATTAACTTACACACTCATAATCCCTTTCCTCCCCTCCCCTTTACCGTATATATGAAAAATTAGATGACCCCCTACCTCATGTTTACTGAGTGGCACTGAACATTTTGCCAAAATGGGCCAATTACTTATAGTAACTAAATTGTTGGACTCCATCTTAAATTAATAATTATATCATATTTTAGTTTTCAATTATTATTATCCAGAAAAGATATAAATCTTCTAAAATTCAGTTGTGTACTTACGAGATTTCTATAAATTACATCATAAACTATAAATTACACACCTTTATGATAAATGAGTATTCATAAAATGTGGCAAAGACAAGCCAAACCAGTCACTCGTCGCAAAATTTGATTTTGAGTTATTAATACAGTGTTAGAGAGTAAAATAATAGCTATAAAATGGAAAAAAAATCATTCAAATAGGACATTTCCTTATGAAGTTACAAGCGTTTAACCACACAGCTGTTTAAAGAACAATATATGAGAAATCAGCCTTCAAAGTTTATGATTTCAGGCATTTCTCATGCAGAAACTATCTTTAAATCCTTAAAAAGTGTTGTTTCAACATTGAAAACGGGACATATAACAGCATAGAATGATGTGTAGATATATAAAGGTTAGTTTAGTGCAATAAAATAGATTTTTAAAAATTTGACATTCTAGCATGTTTTGGCCATTTTCTCTGAAACACGGTTTGCGACGAGTGACTGGTTTGGCTTGTCTTTGCCACAAATGCATTATCACTGGACATTCATGTATAATTACACTTTAACAGCTTCAGGCTACTATGGATTACATCATAAACCATTAATAGACACACATTTATGTTTAATGAATATTCATAAAATGCACTGTCACCTGGCATTCATGTATTAACCATGGAGGTATATGAACAAGAACCAGAACACAATATGCAATGGATTAAGAACACACCATGAAATAAGCCTCCCTGGATTCAAACACTCTATTCTCAGTTTATCATATTTTTGCAGTTATTTTATTCACTATTCTAATTTTACTTGATTATTGAATTATGATTTTGTACCTTCGTTGGTAAATTGTTATCTTCTGGTGGGCATTTTGTACAGGAACCTGAGCTCCTATTTTTGCCTGCAGAATTGAAGTATGAATATGTACAATTGTATAAGCAGTCTTTCTTAAATGTGTATTATAAAGATAAATATTGTAGTATGAGATTATATGATACTGCACAGTAGTAGCACAAAGTAAGGCTTCTCAGAATATGCAAATAGATACTGTAGTTTAATTGTAGAGGGTAAGTTTAATTTAAGAAACTTCCGTCATGCTTTCCGTACTTATGTCTTTGGTTTTAGTTATTTTTCCCTTTAATATCCCAGAAGCCATGTAGTTGTAATTTAAAATTCTACTTATACATGGTTAAGAGGTCTTTCAATCTCAGGGTTCAAATCTCACAACAAAAAAAGAACTTTATAAAACCTAAATAGATTCTTATCATTTGATTGGTGGATTTCATTTTTTTTTTTTTTTAATTTCATTTATTAAGCACTATTTACATAGTGCTTTGACAAAAAGACATCAACATCACAAATTAATTCAAAACATCAAAATCACAATGAAAAAACAAAAATCCCCCCAGCATAGCGAACAGGTCAGCAATGACTAAAGACAATAAAAATTCCAAACATCAATCACATTAAAGGAGAGAACCCTCCAAGAACGCAAACAGATCAACAATGAACAATGGCCAAAAAAAAAGAAGAAAAAAACTCCTGATCCTCCATGGATGTTGCAAGACTACAGATTAAGGTTGCAGGTGTGATTTGAGATTTTTTCCTAAAAGAAACTAAAGTTGGTGATTGACAAATTGTGATAGGCAGAGTGTTCCATAATTTGGGTCCATAATTGTGCGTGGAATGTAAAGCATGGTATTATCCATGGAGGATCTAAGACCAGTTCTATGAGATTCATATTTTTGAATTAAATTTCTAAGATAAATAGGCGCATTAAGACATACGTAGATTATACTCATTGACTTTAAAACAATACGCTTTTCAATTGGAAGCCATTTTTAATTGTTTGAGTAACGGGGTTGTACTAGTGCCCATGGACGCTTTAAAAACCATGCATGCTGCCCTGTTTTGCAGCAATTGCAAGGACTTCACATTAGTTTTAGACGTTTCTGAAAGTAATTAGTTACAGTAATCTAATCTACATAGAACTAATGACTGTAGTTCAATAGTGCACGTTTTGTCATCGATATAATTTCTAATCTGAGAAATATTTCTAAGATAAAAATTAACCGTCTGTCGGGTCCTGGAAACGTTCAGATCTATGTTTAGATGTTCATCAAACTGAACCCCAAGGTTTTTAACAACTTTTGATGGAGTAATTATGGACATGCCAATTTGCAGCTTCACATCAAGTGAGTTTGTATTAAATCTTGGTGGTGAAAAAACAATTAATTCTGTTTTCGAATCATTTAGTTTGAGTTTGTTTGCACGCATCCAGGATTGTAGATTGTCAATACATTTATTTAATTTACTTATGGCCAAGGTCAGGTCATCAGGTGATTTTGGGTCACAGCTAATGTAGATTTGAGCGTTAAGATGAAATTTAACACCCGCAACCCTTAAAATATTTGTTATTTCTTGTGTATACACCGTGACCAGTGATGGACTGATGACGGACCCTTGTGGTACTCCAAATTTTATGGGAAATCATTCTGACTTCGTGCCCAAGACTGAAACCAGACAACCATGACATTGGTTATTTACATCATTTCGTCACTCATCATGATAATTAGTTACAATGTGCATTTTAATTTCCATCCGTTTCACTCTATTGCATGCCTCAAACTAATACAATCTTTTCATTGGTTAAAAAAATGCTGGACTGTTTCATTCAGAAAAACGCTATATTTTTTTTCCATAAAATATCAAATGACAAGAATCTATTATAGTGTTTAAGACAAATAATGAATGTTTTGTATTCGTGTAATGGAAAGAATATTTTCATGAGTTGAAAGATTGACTGTTCCATTCAACTCAGCTCCGCCTCATTGAATGAACAGTCAATCTTTCAACTCATGAAAATATTCTTCCCATTGCATTCTTAAACAATTATTTGTTTACTATTGCATTGATCCTGTAATTGGCTAATGAACTTGTAGTTAAATGAGATGAAATTATGGTTCATGAGATGTAACTTAATATGGACCAAATCTACCAAATCCATCCAGAAATATCATGAATATTCTGTTACTCAGATTAAAACATTAGTATATCCAATAAATTATTGATTCATTCTTCAACCAATCAAGATTCAGTTTTATGCTTTTAAAAAGTTGTGTTTAACTACAAGGGAATCTTTCATTATCAACATTCCTTTAATTTTTAAATTGCCAGATACTTTTAATTTTCATTTTGTACCATGAAACACTTTTAGTATACTTAATGTGGTGTGATGTAAACAAAGGGATAGCAACCATGCATTAAAAATATACTGTCTGTGTTAAGCTAAACAAAATCTTTCAAAATAAAATGCAATACATTATTTGAATAACTTTGTATTCAAATCAGTGGTGTATTCTTGAATAGAGGGGGCCCTGGGAGGAAATTTTACAGATGCTCAGATACCTGTCTCATCATAATTGTGGCTGAGAAATGTTTTATGTCTAACTCACCTCTCAAACTTAAATTTTGAATGCAGTCTTCTGCTTTCACATTGAATTCACTTCTTGCAAGAAGTGAAAGCTACAAGATTAAAAATTATATTCTTGGCCAATAAATAAATACAATTCCAGTACAATTCTCATTGGAATTTGATACTTGCCGATCTTTTTAAATCAGCAATTACATGAATTAATTTGATTATGTTTTACAATACAGTGTAACTTTAATGCAAAGCTCAATTTATATTTTCTGTTCAATTTCATTAAAATTAGATAGGATTCACTGCAATAAATATGTATTTAATACATTAGATTGTTCAAATTGCAAAAGTTCAATTTATTTTAGTTGGTGAGCAAATTAACCAGAACAATTTGGACAATAGATGTAGTGGCATTTCCAATTATTAGTGTCTCAAGTATTTAAGTTACATATGTATTAACCATGGTGCCTTTTGTCCTATTGTCTAAAAACTTTCTTAAGACAAGATATTGAATAAAAGAGACCTACGATAAATAATAAAATCTAACGCACATTATTAATTGTATGTGTTTTTTATTTCCATCTAAACAAAACATTCACTGGATAAGGCAAAATGATAGTATACGAAATGAGCTACAAAGCATCAAACATAAAACATATGGGAGAGGGCTGTGTTTACTATAAGATTTTCTCCCCCAAAAATATAGCATTTGTTCAGCAGGTGTGCATGTCATTGCATTTACAAAAATAGCTGCTCCTATGTTCAAAAGCCTGCTGAAACACCATACTATCTCACCTATTAAAACTCAACTGTTAAATATCGTAATGTCATATCACTGATATTTTTCTAAAAGCTCAAGTTATATATAAGACAAAAACAAACATTATATAATAAAATATAAGGATTATTGATAGGATTCTCATTGTCATGTTTAAAAAATAGCAAAAATGATTACAAGTGAAAAGATTATATAAATGATACCCCTTATAAAAGAAAAACAAAGCAAGAATTACATAACAATATATAAGGATTCTGTTACATTTATGGTCCTTTATTCTGTACACCAATAAGTGAACTTCACTATTATCCTCCATTAATATAACTCAGCCATACAAGTAGATAAAGAGGTTTTGCCCCATGTTCAGTATATATGCAGGTAGAAGAAGAACCAATGTCTTGATACCATGTATACGGTATTTTAATCATGTTGGAATGTAGCCATATAAATGGAACGATTGATTGATAGCTGGCATTTTCCACATATACATGATTACACAAACTGGAACATGTGGAAGTATATTCCACATTATCCATCGCATAGCAAATATCAACCTCAGTATATAACAGGCCCGTAGCCAGGTTCTTCCCAAGGGGGTTCTCTGAGCATGAAGCCCTGGTGTGGTCAGCAAAACCCCCTATGCCAGAGGATTTTTGTGTTTTATAGGTCTAAATAATGCTATAAAAGCAGATATGTTTGAAAAAGGTATGCAGCAAAACATTCCATGAGTCACTGCATTATTTGGGTTGGAGGACTCATTCGGAAATTAAGGGTGGGGGGGGGGGGGGGGGGAGGGTTTCACCAGAACCATAAAACTCCCCTGGCTACGGGCCTGAATAACAAAACAACAAAGGTTTGACTTCTCTTACGGAACATATTTCGTACACTTTTTCTAGATCAATGAAATCGAAAGCATGCGGCAAAATCTCCCTTGATAAATTTACCTTGAAGAATTTACTCTAACAGACCTTGGCATGAACCGAAAGGTCCACTGATTAATCTCAGATAAGAAAGTATAATACAGACCTTGGCATTTTATAAAGAAAAAACTAAAGATACATGTTCACTGTAATATAATGTTATATATACATATATTATGGAATGTTGATAATAATAATAATATCTAAAACTACTCCATAAAGGAGTACAAATTTACAATTGACTGGATGTTATACATCAAGCCCTAATTATAACTAAGAGGTATTAACTTTATTACATTATGAAATTCATAGTTGCATCTTCACCTTACAAAATATGTCCATTAATCTACAAAACTATAAATGGGACACAGAACATGTAATGTACACTATATGTTGTTTGTTTTTCACTTAATCTTCTACCCACTAGACATGCATTGGTATGTAACATATAAAACAACATTCTTTATGTCTCAATATTGGACAAAGTTTGGTTGAAATTCTGTGAATTAGTCATTAAGGCACAAGAAGTCTGGAAGAAAAGAAAAATTATTCAAGGAATCCATGTTAAGTGTTGTCCTGCCACCATTCCTAAATGAATACATATTATGTGTCTACACATACAATAATGTGTAGTATGGCTTATGTGTATACTTACATGTTCTATGGCCTGGAGTGTAGAGTAGTAGGGTTTGCATGTATAGATTACGTTAATAAATTTGGTTCCTGTGTATACTAAGTCTAATACCGTTGTCATATGGCCAGATATAAAGGGATTGATACAGAAATAATTACATTTTTAACTGAGGTCTGCTCTACAAAGAGATAGAGCAATTGTTTTAAAATATCCATTATTAATAACTTGTTAAAGAATTAATTTTAATGTGTTAAAAAATAAATTCCTGATAAAATATATTACCAGATTTTTTTTTATGCTGTGTACATTTTTATTAATGTTTCAGTAATTACTGAGTTACATTATTTTGTAGCTTAAAATTAGATGCTCATAAAAATTATACATTTAAAAATTCAATAAATTTGTCAACACATTCACTAATTTTTAGTTAGAGAAAACTATGACCTTTGTTTTGTCAAATAAAACATTAAACTTATAAAAATTCATTAACATATGATGATAGAATCAATTTTTTTGGTAGATCATGTCACATGATTGAGCATCGCCCTTCTGCTGACTTTTTTTCTACTATAAAATGAACAAAACATTTTGTTTATAATTTATCTTAAAAAATGTATTGCACAAGACACTTCACACCATGGAGCCAAAACTCTTCTATAGGTCCCATGTTGACAAAAACTGAATTTTAGAAACTTATCATAAAACTCATTAAAAAGCAGACATGTTTGGTGAATAATAAATTATAAAAGAAGATGAGAGAATATACAATGACTTCACATAGACGGGGCATACAGTAACATCATTACAAAAGCTCCATGCATGAATTAAACCATGAAAGAGTTGCATAAGCAACCCATGAGAATTGACTGGCATATGAGAATACAGTTAAACTTGCCTAATATGCATGCTTACCAGTCAATACAATGTGAACACAAAAACAAATATGGTTAACAGTTAATGATGAACGGCAACATAAAATAAACCTAATTAAACATGATATATCCAACTGAAGCAGCCTCAGTATTTAAAGAATTGTGCTTTAATTCCAAAGATGCATTTTTATGATAAATCTTCACAAGTGCTTTGGTAAAATCCTGTTTACAAATTGTAATTTAAGTTAATATACGAAATATGTTATTATTGACAAACTACTAAGTATATAAGTGACAACTCAAAATGCCCTCTGAATGTTCAGAAAATTGTCCAAAAATATTAAAATTTTTGACAAATTTGCCTTATTCTTTTAAGCATACTACTTGCAAAACTTCTTCATGTTTTTCTGATTATCGCTCACTAGCCAACTCTGTTAAATGCCCTTTTCACCAAGAAAATTATATCTTCACACTAAATATACCAGAAGACCACCAAAAATAGTACAAAAATAGTTCATCTAATTAAATACCTGTAACTATACAGTTTCCCCAAAATGTACATATATACTGCTTTATTTTTACAATTGTACATGAAGGAATTTGTTCTCATTTTCACAACAAAGAAGCATTAATTTACCAAACAGAGAAATATTTATCCCAAATGTTACCAACCATACCATGTGTTTTATTCCTGAAATAAATTTTTTCTTCTTCATAATAGGCCTTTGTTTGATTGATGTGCCTTATACAATAAGCTCTTCGTCTTTCAAAGCTGACCCTCTTCCACTGTCTGTATCTCGGCTATGTGCACTTGACTTCCGCCTGTCTGTAGAGGCAGTTCCATTCTTTTCCCTTCCTTTCTTACGTCGTTGACTGTCTCGGATTGTTCCTGATGTGATCATCCTTCCAAATCCTTCTTGATGCGAAAACGCATAACCTGATCCCGCTGACTGAGGGCGCTTGCGGCTAATTCCTTCTTCCCGAACCGAATCTTTGCGACTCTTCGGCCGATCATTTTTAATAACTTTGCCATTCATATCACCATCGATACGCTTCAACGACTTCAGCTCAACAACATTGTCCTTGTCTTCCTTTGCCTGTTGAGCTTCCCTCTGCTGCAGCATGCGGACCTTCTCTGCAAGGGTTGGCGCAACATCCATCGAAATGGCGCGCTTTCCGGCGACGGGCATGAGTAGTATGACACATACCAGTGGCATACTGAACCAGAATGTTGGCATTGTGCTCATAATCCGTGCAGAACCAATAAATGTGAAAATGGCAAAGAAGAACTCGTACATGATGTCACTGTACATGGTGAAGATTATTATCCAGTAACTGATGATGCTTAACCAGATGCAGATGTGGTTGAATACCGTCCAGTAGGCTGTGTCCATTGCCATCTGCAAAAAACATAGATCAGAGTGAGATATTAAATTTAACTCTATTAATTTCGACCAATGGCATTCAAATATTTTATGATTATATAAAAAAAATAAGTTTAGCTTATGGTTGTCAGAATGTAAAGATAAAGTCAAAACCGGAGCTCTGGGTTCAAAGACCAAAGTGCCAATGTCTCTTTCATTGCCATTTCAAAATAATAATAGTGACAATTTATAATGCGCCAGTATCCATCAAAATGCTCAAGGTGCAAACAGACAGAAAGAGAGTAATAAACAGTCGGTAATCAAGAATACGAATAAAAATAATATTATCCTTAACCCTGGTGAAGGAGGCTTCAGGAGTACCTTTGCAGAAGGCAGAATAAATGATAATGATATTGATAATAGCGGTAGATCATGATGATGGCGATGATTGATAACTGAATAATGTTGATGAGTACGGTGAGGACTATTTAGTAATACCAACCTTAAAGTTGACAACCAGTACCAGCATGGAAGCTAAAATGCAACCAAAGGTAGTCTGCGATCCTGCTGGAAAACCATCTGGGTTCGCCACATCTAGGAAGGTTCCTACACAGAAAACCGAAAACATGCAAAAATCTTAGATGATTGTCTCTTGTACTATACCAATCAGAAATGGACCCCTCTACCACGTAAAAGGTTACTGTTTCATTAAACTCAGTATCTTAAACTAACATCACTTTAAAGATTAAGTGCATTACTATAGAGGGGAGAGGTCAAACAATAACTTTATAGCTTACTTTAAACATCCAGCACTCTAGCACTAATTCAAATATAACAGTATAAGAGCACCTTCATTCGAACCATAGATCTCAGCCTAGACTATGGTGGGGCTGAGATAGGTGTTGGCTCAAACCATATAACAGGTTCACCACCCACATCCCCCTTCAAATATAAAATCCCGGTTCAGCCCACGGGTGACATACCATAAGAAATAAAGAATAGTGTGAGGGAGGTGATTGTTCCAGACACAATGCTCTTGGTGAACACCCAGTAGTTGAAGTACTCATTCTTCTGTCCAGGTTTATACAATGCTGGGAATCTAACACACATGTCCTCATTCACATCCTGGCGACAATAAAAATAATTAATAATAATAATTAGGAATCCATTATGTCATATAGTATGTAACTTTCCATCATCCAAATGGTAAACATCCAAATGACTACATTAATAGTAATAATATGTCATTCTTAAATAGAGTATTACGCTAAGGCTTCTCTCTATGCACTTCACTTTCTAGGATCCAACACCTATGGAACAGCTAAATTCAATATTTTGGAGCTAGTATTGAGAACACTGGCATGCAAACTTGCATAGGTAGATACTCCTGGGTGGAGAGATAACATAGATAATGTGCTAGGCCTAAGGACAAAGTGGCCAGCCTAAGAGCCAAACCATTAATTTATACATGTAAAACATTATCTTTTACTTATACAGCATCTTTTCTTTAGAATGCTAAGCACCTTTTCCCTGTTCATTGGATACAAAGTCAATCCAGGATAGTGTGCAACCGCCTCTGTTTCCAGGTAAGTTTTACTATTTTATAACTACCAATTTCATTCCTAATCATTCAGCTCTAAATCATTAATATTTCTGAGTGATGAGAGGCAAACTTAAATGAAGCAATTTGTTCAAGGAAACAAGTGTAATGCACTAGGAGTATAAATGAGAGCCACTCCGTGGCTGTGTATGTCTCAAATATTCTCATTGGTCAATGACAACCAAGTGTCTTCAACATGATGACGGCTAAAGGAACAAGTAAGTAAGAAGGATGTTGTGGTATTGAATGTATTAGTCTGTCACTGGTAGAGTGGACAAGGTTGCACATTATACTAATAACTAATTTATAGATAAAATCGTCAGGGTTAATAACATTAGAAACGCCTTATATTCCTTGGCAAAAAATGTAGCATAATCCCTATATTAATTGTTAAATGATAATAATAACACTAAACACCAAAAATTCAATTCTAATAGATAAAAATTTTATTTCAGAAAATCTTATTCATTTATAAATTTGTTTGTACTAACCTGATCAAAGATTCCAAGAGCTATGACAGGGAGCGATGTGAATACAATATTGTAGAGTGTAATGAACCACTGGTCATAAACAGCCTAAAACAAAAGGAAAAAATACTAGTTTTATTACTGGGCAGTAAGCCACAACAATTGAGTAAATGAGAGTTTCATAAAGAAAAGGTAAGTTTAAAGGATAGATTCTTCAAGGAGAGTGAAGTTGTTTCTGGTTGTGACTGAATGAAGGACCTTGTGAATGTAAGGTAAGAATCCTATAAATTTCATTATGAGACAAATAATCACAGATTACTTTAATTAGCAAGTATAGAGGTGTTGAATATAAAATAATAATAATATGTCGGTCTTTAAAGCACGGTGCAGTGTTGTAGCTTGAAATGCTTCCTATTTAAGGTCCTGGGTTCAAATCCTCTGAAGAGCAGGGCCTCATATATAGAATTAGTTTATGGGGCATGAGAGAATAATAATAAAAAGCCATGTACGCACTTATCATTATTATCCCAGTCATTCAATTTAATTTAATTTTTTTAGAATCAAACACCATGCTTTAACTTATTAAAATTTTGCAGCAAATCATATCTGCAAAGAAAGGCGCTTTACAATAACCAGATTGGATTGGATTAAAATTAGAATGAATAAATATATATCTCATATTATTTACAGTCATCACTCATACTCACCATAGCTGAGAAGCCACAATAGAACGCAAACCAAAAGTGACTAAGAGTAAATGCGAAATTCTTGTAGAAGAAGTACGACAGAAACTTGCTCATACGCACGTATGACCAACGTCCGTGAACAAGCAGAAGCCTTTCAAGAAAACGGAACTGCCCAAATGAGAAATCACTTGCCAGAACAGCTTGCATTCCCTCTTGACCGCTAATTCCAACACCTATATGTGCAGCTGTAACAGTCAACAAGTTTTTATTAAATTTAGTTTATTTTTTGGTTTGGTATCTGTTCACGGTTTATGTGAATAAGCAGTAACCTAGACAACAGATTTGAGTCTGCTAGCATTAAGTCTATCATACATTAATAAATAACTTGACAGCATATGTCACGATTTTTGGCCAATCTCAAGGTCTTACAATTCAAAACATCGCAATACAGTTAGCATACTCCAATATAGTTGCCACTCATACAGTTTGATTTGGTGTCTGCTAACTATTGCTATGAATAAGTGGGAATTTGATGTGTCTACTAGCATCAAGTAAAATATAAATTAAGATATATTTGAATAGCAATTGTCACTACAATTTTGGGCCAAACTCAAAGCCTTGATTTGAAGCACCGTACTATCTTTGTTAACTTTCTCAATATATAAGGTAATTACTGCAAGTGCAGTTAGAAAGAGGTTACACATTATTAGATTAGTTCTTAGTAGATTATATCCAAATAAATTTCTATATTCAAGAAATAATAATCAGTAATATCACAATCATGTTAATAACCAAGACAAATAATAATTACTGCTGATACAAACCTAAAAATAAAGTGTAAACGAAAACTCACCTTTAATCATGCTGACATCATTGGCACCATCCCCTATCGCAAGTGTCACTGCTTTCTTGTATTTTTTCACAAGATTCACAACTTGTGCTTTTTGCAAAGGTGTGACACGGCAACAGATGATGGTTTTGCAGAAACAAGCGGCCTCCAGGAAAATCTGTTCAATATCTGCTTGCAGTGCATGTACCTATTGATGGCCGAATTAAAATTTTTAGAATGTGATTAAATAGGGAAAAGTAAAAAAAGGTCACAATATATCCACAGTTTTAAAATAACCATATGACAATATTGGTAAACACTAAATAATAATTGTATATGTTGATACTATTATGGTAATATGATAATATTCATCATCACATTTTAAAATAATAAAAAATTTGATAGTGATTTATTTATATGTATTCAGTTAGTTATATTTACAGATATGAAGCATTTCTGTCTCAGGTCATTTGGTTCAAATGCTTACAGTAACTGTTGCTGCTGTAATCAGCACAGGAGTAGGCAACACCCCACATTTAAAAATTGTTTACAAAAACTATTAATTGTCCCACATGCCATAAGAATTTGTTGATGTGATGTACTTAACTATCTGGTCAAATCATTTCATTATAGTCTAAAACATAAGCCACAAGAAATGTTGAAATAACATCAAGAACAACCCACCAAGCTGGCTCCAGTGATAACAATCGCAAAGCTATAGATGCTCGCCAGTTGTTCCATGTTCTTTTTCTCATCCTCCTCGTCATCATCCTCGTCAACAATATCATCCTCATCACATCTCATTTTGTTCTTAATCCCCATGGTATCACAAATCTTATCAAGAGTGTTGTTTACTACTTCTTTAATCGCCTCCTCCTCGGTTTGGTTGATGACGAACACTTCGTTGAACTCATCGGTAAGCAAACGACAGGAGTAACCGATGTTGATCGCTGTTTCTTGTTTGTCTCCTGTCAACACCCATACTTTGATATTACCCTGGTAAAAGAAAATGTTTGCATATTATAATGAATTCAATATATTTGGGAAAACAACATCTTTCCTTTCTCCAGAGGAAAAATTACTTTCCATACATTTTTTTTAAAGAGACAAGAAAAAAGTATACATAATATTTGAATATGAAAATCTATTAATAACCAATAGCAGAGCTGCATATCACATAATAGTGGAAATTATTATACAAGTGTTACATTAATGCTTGAAAAAAGTCCTGAGGGGTGTGGATTACATTTAGCTGCGTGCGGTTGTTGCAACAGTACGCGCTAAAACACAGTGAAGAACTTGTTATGAGTTTATTATTTTGACAGACATTCGTCAAAGAAATAAACGTTTTTTAAAGCATTTGAGAGAATACAGTAATCAATTTTTGGTCAGTATAGACAAGTAAAATCATGTGATGATTTCATATCTAGGCTAGGTTACCAGTGGCGGATTCAAGGGGTCCCAGCTGGCCTGCACACCCCCACCCCCCACAATTTTTTCAAAATGAAAAAAAATTTAGAAAAAAAGAAATAAAATTGAAAAAAAAAAATTTCTACTCAAATTTTCAGTGTAAAAGTGCCATTTCCGGCCATCTAGAGGTGCCATAATCGGAAATTTTCTTACCTCTGCCCCAACCATGGCGGTATAGACCCTTCATCGGTGAAAATCCCTCTCTGGGCCCCCACTATTTTAAATTCCTGGATCCGCCACTGGCTACGATCTAGGCCTAAGCCTCGTCAGCCTCCTGCCTACATCTAAGTTCATTCCTTGAGTCTTTAAAATGATAGGTCTAGAATATTAAAGCTCAGTTTCTTTAGTTTATTAGGGTCCAAGAATTCCTTAATCTTTCATACAAAATTGAATTTGAAGAAACTTTCTTTGGGTTCCAATCAACTTTGCTTTACCAAAGTCATTTTTTCAATTATCACTTGTCAACAAACGACGACTGGGCGGGTGCGTCCCTCTCTTTCCACAAACGTGCATCGTAGCAGTGGAAAAACACTAGCCTAGAATTCATTGTTATGCGCGATACATTTATACAAGTTGTTTTCACCTTTTGCACAAGAACTCAAAAAAGATCAAGCAAACCGTGCACTTATTAAAAATTAGTGCGCAGTTTGGAATAGATAAATAACTTTGGGAGTTACAGTGATCATGATCGACTTATTATCAGTATTAGTTCACACCTTGATAAGATTCTCAATAGTTTCTGGCACCCCATCTTGGAGTTTATCTTCAATTGCTGTTGCCCCTAGCAACATCATATCCTTTTCAATTTCTTCTTGAACAGCATCTATCTTTTCTTCTCTGTTTTCAAGTGAGGTTCTGAAGAAAGAAAGCATAAATACTTTGTTTTCATTAGCACTATCACCAACTGAATAAATCATTACAATAACCAAACTATTCTTAATAATCATTGAATTAATTGTTAAATTAAACCCTAAAAAATATATTGGGTAAATAATTACGGCACATTTGTACATCACTTTTTTTAAATACATTATTGTCTGTTAGTGTTAATTTAGTTTATGGTTTATTTTCTTCTCTTATGTTGATGTTAAGCACCTAGTGGTAGTGAAAATGTGAGATGCTACATAAATCCAGAATTATCATTATTATTAACTGTATTATTTTATTCAAATGATATTTAATATATCTTTTTTCTATTAATTTAGGCTGAGCCAACATTCATAATTCATACCTGATTCTAAGCTTGTCATTGGCTCTAATACAGCATATGACTACATTCATATCAAGATGAGCCCCTATCACATGATCAAACGGGACTCTACCACTTTAAAAAGTTAAACTTACGAGGCCTCATGATACTTCTTGTTCCAATCCTTGTATTCTTGTTCTCCAATATCTTTCATTGCTAGAACCAATGTTCTCAGTCCTTCGTTTGCAAAGTCCTGTATGTTGAAAAAAAAAAGTATATTAGTAATGTTCTAAAAATATACAATATCCTAATTCATAATCAAAAACAGAGCATAAGTTCCTGAAACAAGAACGATAGCATCCTGAAAATCAAGACTCCTATCAGACAAAATTTTCTATAAATATATGATCGCAATACACTGCTATTGTCCCTATTTTGTATACCATACTATTACTTACATTCAAATGTTCTTGCGTAACATCTTTGAGAAAGGTACTGGCTTCCCCAAGTCTCTCAAAAACCACATTATCTGCGCCCTTACAGAATAACTTGATACGATTGTTTTGCCGGACAATCACAGACATTCGTTTGCGGACGTTATTGAAGTCCAAGATCTGAAGAAGCTCGTACGTATCTTCTCTTCCCTGAACTTCAATTGTGATTGTTGTTGGCGTACGTGACTAAGAATGAAAAAATCAAATGTGATACAAATTAGTTTTACTCCAGTGATGATATCCGTCGAATGTATATGTAATATGTATGTATATGTATATGCATATGCATGTATATGTATATGCATATATATAACATACTAACTCACACATAGGGAGAAAAATCCTTTGTCTTGATTTCTCCTTAACGTCATTAAAATTTCCCCTTAGCGGCAGTGTTTTCACCTTAAGGTGTTATTTCTAACGCTTTCCATTGTTATCGTTTCCCCCATGGTAGGAAATAGTATATTAATGAATGTTAATGACGTTAAGGAGAAATCTAGACAAAGGATATATATTTACCTGGAAAATATTATGTAAAGTAAAATAAATAGACAAATTGATGGAAGATGATGTATAAATAGACAGATGATTAAATGAATATATAAGAACATTCACTTTGTAAGATGCATAATTTGAAACAAAATATCTAATTACAAACATAATAAAAGAGAAATATTACTTTGTAAGTAAAACCAAAGTTCCTTGCAGCACCGACTAATGCTGCTTCATCAGGGGACTGGGCTTGATAGGTTAAGCTCCCTGAAAAATGAAACCACAAATTAAAACTTGTCATGAAGAAATAATAAAATTTAACTTCAGCAAAATATAATAATGATCAGTTTAGAATGTTGGAACACATCCTCCTCCCCACCTCTAGGCTTTCCTGTCACAGGAATTATCAGACCTACAAGAGAGCCCCATCTTAAATGGCAAACAGATTGGCAAAAAATAATGGCTGAATTGTTTTCCAATGCTCTAAAAAATACTGGACCTAAATATTGTGGTTTTTAAAGCCCCTATATCTACGACCAGAATATGCACTACAAGAGTTGTTAGTTTGTGTAATGCCAAGTGAGACATCCAACAATTCTCTAGGCTTGCTCTGGGATTACTCAAGAAATGTATAAAACCATGTAGCCATGCAAGAACGATCAGGCAGTTAATTGTAATTAGGGACACATACCATCATCTCCATGCTCGGCCATGACTGTATGGCAGAGTGCAAGCAACCGGAAGAAAAGCCACGTCTGACGGTCTCCGCGATCTACTCCAGCCTTTAGCGAATTGTCATAAAACTCAAAACTTTCCTCGTAATATTTGTTTGATGAGAAATCAACTTTCGGTGTGTCCTAAGATAAACAAATTCACAAATGGTTAGTTGTTTATTCCTTTGATCACTAATAATTCTGTATTTTCAAATGAGTATTCCACAAAAAAATATGGGATGGTCTTTAGATGGTGCCATTTCAGACAACTCATGTCAGTGAGCAATTTCAATCAAGCCAGGCAATGATTTTAGCCTCTATTTTGGGTAAAATGAAGTCCTGTTTTTTTTATATAAAGGCATGACCTAAGAGTGCAAATGTTGGTCACCTTTGGGTGTCATCAAAGAAATACCCTGTGAATAAACACCGGCCCTAAGTAGTCATTCATCAACTTCATTTGGCCTCATATAAATGTATTATTGGGGTGGATGCAAATTTGTCGGTAAGGTGCGTAAGAGTCCACATGACCGCAGCCCTAGCACGATTGAGGCTGAGGTGTGAACATTTTGAGATATAGATCTCTGGGTGAACAGAAATTGCACTCTCAAATTTATTCGGTATTTTTGATAATATTATAAATAATATATCAAAAATTATTTTTCTTAATACAATTTAGTGGGGGGGGGGGGGTGGAATCACACCGTCTGCATCCGCCCCTGTATTACTACATTGCCTGAAAGTAATTGAACTGACTCAAGAGTAGATATTATATTGCATGCCAAGCAAGTATTCATCCTTCTTTGCTTCTTGAAAAAAAAATATTCTTAGCCATTCATCCATTGATTGATTGGAATGTATTTTTTTACACATAGACTTACGTTAGAAAGTTAAGTACATGTAATACATACACATACAAGACACTTAAAGCTATTTGTATTATTAGACAAAGATAGCATGTTAAAGCATTATTAGTGCATGTACAGAGCAAACATAGAGCATATAATTAATCACAAACTAATTAATTTACACTCTAATTAATTATTAATCTATGATTATCTTGATTAAGTAGCTCTAATAACTTAAATAACTTAAATAACTTAAATGACTTCACCTTCACTGAGTAAATATATTATAAATTATCTTATGACCATGATGAGCAAGAATCGATGTTGTATCACGTTCTATTTCTCTATGGTTGTACAGTGTAGGTATAAGTCTATGTGTGTCTGTGTAAATATATGTATGTGGGGTTGTAAACTGAAGCAACAAAATAAAAATAAATGTTTTTTTGACTGTTTATTCAAATAATTTCAACTTAATTTCAATTCAAAATATGGAACGTTTTAATAATTATTTTGGTATTCTAATTTAATTTTTGTAACGTATCTATATGCCATATGACGTCTGAAATTTAGCCAATGTACGTGAATATGTTCACAATTAACAATGCATTGAATCAATACATCAATAGCAAACAAAATAGTAAGTCTATTTATACATCATACCATCTCATTGTAATGATCACATTATTTTATAGCTTTTCTAATATATACATGGAGAGTATTGGCAAAATGACTCAATATCTCATAACTCTTACCTCTGAATCTATTGTTTGTTTTTTATTATGTTAACTTGAAGAGGTTGATGACCCATTGAAATAGTAGGTTTAGGTTTTTCAAAATAGTACTAATATGTTCATTTCAATACTAAAAAATATGTATAATTGGCTATTTTTTTCTGTGTACATGTCTGACTTCATTTTGTGTGTAGTGCCTACATCTGGTATGTGTCATCAGTTGTTGGGTAAGTTGATCACATGACGGTAGCCGGGACACTCCTGGGTCAGCCACATATGTACAGTGACTAAGTCGCAGTCATATAGGAAACACGGTCAGACAGGGGAAGTCATGTAAAAGACACATTGCAAATATCTCAATGAGGAAGCAATCAGTTAGCATGTAAGCCTATTAAAATGCAAACTACATACGCATCAAAGCTGAAGCCAACTACCGGGGGTTTTAACACGCACACTGTTAAATTTCCATGAATTTTGGCTGACTCATACCCTCTTTTGGTTAACTAGTACCATGTATTTGTGGCTGTACTGTAACACATTTGTGTAGGCTTATACTGTCAAACCAAACCAACATTTCTCAAAAAGTTTAGCCTGGTAATCTGTACTGCTGACATATATCCCCTACCCATTACAAGGCATTATAAGCTATGGGCACCTAGAGATCTATAAACAAAATTAATTTCAGTACAATTACACAATAAAAATGTTACACATAACTAAATCGTACCTGCTTATGTTTCCAAATCTTTGAAATAAATATTAGTACATGATTGTAAAAAAATAATAAAAGACAAATTAAAATAAACGGCATGCATGGGTAGACATCACACTATGATAAAATTAAAGCCGGCCAAAAATATTTGTCTGTCAGATTAAACTAAATTTGATTAAATTCTCTAGTCTGATGAAGTAGAAAATTGTCCATCTTCCAATAGAAACATGATTAGTTTGAAGACATGTCTATGGAACAAACACACGCTAATAGACAATGTCTGATCAAAATAATGTAGAATGTGACCAGTGGCATAACGAAGGAACTGGTGGCCCTGGATAGGTTACTTGGCCCTACTGCTACGCTTGGAGGTACACAAGGCCCAGTAGTGAAGTCCCCATCCACTCCTGCTGATGTTTTATGTGTGTACATTTTTATATATTCTTACATGTTATGCTTCTTAAAGGGCCTTCCTTGATTGATTTGGAGCCCATCGTCCGGACAAGAAAAATGGTGATAAATATACTTAGGTTCCTAAGAAGGTTCAGGGGCCAGACTTATCAAACTAGAAATCAGCTTAAATTTGTCTTAAATCCATTTTTTTTACTCAAGTCAGATTTATCATTATTGCTTAGCTTAAAAATTGCTTAAAACGTTGATTGTACACATGCACAATCTAAGACGATTTTTAAGCTAAGATTTTGCTAAGATGGTTGATAAATCAGCAAGATATTTGTTTAGGGATATCTTCAACTTTTTTTACTTAAGACATTTTCTAAGCTGAGATTGATAAATCCCAGGCCATGGCCCCTAGCTTTAGCCAATGGCAGCACATAGGCCTTATGTCACTCAGACTGACAGTTTGGATAGTGTATGCCTGCCTTTGAACACACAAAGTGGCGCAATGGTCAGTAATAAAGTGACATACAATTCATTAATGAATATAATGAAAAATATAAAAATATATTCTCATATATATATAGACCTACCTCGTCAATCGGTACAATATCTCCTGCTTTGTTTTTGAACTCTCCGAACTTCCTACCAGAGATACTACACTTGTTGAATGTCATCATATTCTGTTTTCATAAACAAAATTCAATAAGAAATTTTAAAATAAAAATGTTTATAAATCACAGGTTAGGATCTATTATGCACTGTTCTTTATATTGTGTTGTCATAATTATCAATGATATACATAAAATATAAATATTGATTATATAATTATATAAATATATAATAGAGGGGAATGACATAAAATTTTTTTAAGGTCAGCTATTTTAGATGGTTTTAGTCTCCTGGGGACCAATGGGAGAGCATTTCTCAGCCTTATAGCAGAAATCAATCTATAAACGGCAGTATTGGTAATCTATGAGATACCTGGATGAACAGATAATAGATTCTAAATTTCAGAACTTGCATTGAAAATAATAGAATCACCAAAATTGTACTTCGTATACTTTATTAGGAAAGGAAAGTAGTACAAAATAAAAACAACACAGAAACATACCTGGGTTAAAGTACCTGTTTTATCAGAAAACACATACTGAATCTGCCCCAGCTCCTCATTTAATGTTGTGGTTCGGGCCTTTGCTGTGCAGTCCTTGGTCTCGTAATACATTTTCACATCCCAGTTTATCCAAAAGCTCTGGAACAAACGAATCAACTCTACCCTATATGGAAACAACGTAAATTCATTATCTTTACACCATATGAATGAATTAATATAAAATTATGATTAATAATAAATTGGAATTTTAAATACAATTTTTTTTAAGATTTAAAAATAAAGCTGAACATATTACTTACGTTACGTAAAGTGAGATAGGTACAAGTGTGTTTAGTACAATTATATACGAGAAGAAATTCAAGGTTGCAATGATAGCGCCGTTCTTCTGATCCCAAGGAAGGTAAACCTGGAACTCTTCCCCATATGTATATTCCCACACGGAACAGCAGATGGAACAGATGAGGCAGATGACAAGCATTAATATAAATATCTGAAGAAAAAAAAGCATCATTACAAATAACCTGCATTTAATGTTAATTTTCATGTACTCGAGCATGGAAAAGATTAGTGCACAGTTTGTGATTCAGTGTCTCAACATAAAGTTTTAGAGTCCAATTCTCAACTTAGGCCTTGTGTTTGTAACTTTGGGCAAGCCTTGAGTACAGAAATGTATCCACATTTTCTTTCTCTTTCTCTCTATTCAGGAATATTTAGGTGAGCAATTGGTAGATTCAAAATATGTGCTGATTACAAGCTAGAACACGCATACACAGCAAAAGGTCCACTGATTAATCACAGATAAGATACTGTAGTATAATACATAGTCCAAGTATCAACACGATGGCATGCATTTAGGTACTTGGAGTATGTATTATACTATCTCAAGTATACGTACCTTGTAAGGCTTTCAAATCATGTGGTAGATATAAGACCAATATATAATTACCGTAAATCTTTAATTTAATCTTCATCACTAAAATGTTTCTCTATTTTACATAAGAGTTAATAACAATATGGCTCAATGTTCAAGTGTCAATGTCTGATCTAACCTTTGAATTTTTAAAGTTATATTTTTTCTTAATATAAAAAATTATTATTTAATTATGCATAATGACACATGTTAAATGTAGTTATATTTGACATTTATTTTGGATATATATGAAGATGGAGAACATTAAATCATATCATTTAGCATCTATTAAGCAAATGGTGTAGAAGACTCCAAGATTTCAGATTTAACTGATACTCACTGATATTACAAGCTTGTTCATAAGTTTATCCAGATTTGAAAACAGTGACACAGTACACTTTCTGGATTTACAATTTAACAACAGTGTAGGAAGCTGTCTCTTATACACATCTAGATGTGTATAAGAGACAGGAGTAAGAGTGCTTTGATCTTTTGTTTAAATCACTGCTATGTCACCTACTAGAGGTAATGTTTTGATTGGTTAAACACTTTTGGTACTAGTGCATATAAGCTTGCTAATATGGATAATTTTTTTCATTCCTGATGATGACATAATTAATGTCGAAATGTTGAATCCCAACACGATGGCGTGTATTTCAATACTTGGAGTATGTATTATACTTTCTTAAATGTAGTTATATTTGACATTTATTTTGGATATATATGAAGATGGAGAACATTAAATCATATCATTTAGCATCTATTAAGCAAATGGTGTAGAAGACTCCAAGATTTCAGATTTAACTGATACTCACTGATATTACAAGCTTGTTCATAAGTTTATCCAGACTGGTTCTTTTAAGCTTCGACTTCCCACTGTTCTGCATCAGCTTCGTATCCTTGCCGGCAAAGATTACAATTCCATAACACCACTGTGTATTACGTATCCGACACCCTCTTAGCAAGAGCTGGTCATTGTTCAGCGAGAACTTCTCTTCGCCCCAATTTAGTGTTCCCTCGTATCGATCAAGACGATTATTTGGAGCCTCGCATTGAACCTCCCCTGAAAATTAAAATGATACTGTAGTAAAATATGTTCTTAAAATATTAAAATTTAATTTTTCATTATGAGCCTTAAGCCAAACATATATATATACAATCAGATATTTATCTGTCAGATTTAACACTTTGCTAAATGTATTCTTGTCTACAAAAACAAGAATATATTTAGCAAGGTCTGATAAAACATTAAGTGGAATCTGACAAAGTGTATTATGCATATGCCTGACATTATAGTCATTAGCATATTAGGTTCAAGGAAACTGCAAGCACAAGAACATATACACAAATTATTTACAACTATCCCACTTAGTTGTCAAGTAGGATGATAGTAAAATTCTGGGATTTTGAGAAGATGAGCAATATACACACAAACTATTTATAATCTTCCTACTCAGCAATAATTCTCAATATCAATATTTATAATCTTCCTACTCAGCAATAATTCTCAATATCAATCACTTTTATGATTTAATACTTGTAACATTTTACCCTCTTTTATAATGTATAATGTTAATGTTTAACTATAATATTTCCAATATTACTATGATCATCACCCTCTCAAACTACAATTACTAAATAACATTTTCCATCCAATTTGAGACAACTGCAATTCAGAGATCCCTCTAATTTGAAACAACTTTTTCAAAGTACCAACTAACAGTCTTTGAATTTTCAACACAAATCTAACCTTCTAATTTGAGACTCGATTGGAGGGCAAATTGTATACTAAAGTAACAATAAGAATACTTATTATTTCTATCTCTTTTCTCATTTACCATTAAAATTGCCAAGTTTTTCTAGGTCCTGTCCTAACGGTGATGTTTCTGGAAGGGCTTGTTTCACTTTCAGGTTGGTTTCACTGCAAGATACAAAAAAGTAATTAAATTCATCAAATATCATACCAAGCATTATTCAAACAAATTGTTTGCATATGCGGAAGTAAGTAGTATTAAGAATAAAGTAATGGCCATTTTTCAGGTAAGAAAGCTATAAAAGCTGTTTTAGAATACGATTAAATGCATTGCAGTTTTAGCACTATGGTAAGGACAGATAAATTGGTCTTTCAATTAAACCTCTGTCAAAGCAAAGGTTAATGGGGTACTTACTACTAATATAAAATCCCAATGTGTTCCAGGGCGTCACCCTAAATGGGTAGTTTCCATTGAATCATAAACCATGTTAAATTTTGATTTAAAAAATGAATAATGTACCGTATGGCAACTATTGATGTTATTAACATCTGTAAACACAGATGAACATCTGAATAACGAATTAATAAATTTATGAATAAATTAATGTATAAATTAATATACATACGACAGAATTAGGAAGTTAGCTTAACACAGACAAGACACTACACTACTCAAGCTTATTCTATTACACCAAGTATGCATAGAGGAACACACACTACACTACTCAAGCTTATTCTATTACACCAAGTATGCATAGAGGAACACAGACAAGACACTACACTACTCAAGCTTATTCTATTACACCAAGTATGCATAGAGGAACACAGACAAGACACTACAATACTCAAGCTTATTCTATTACACTAAGTATGCATGGAGGAAAATTATTTGTGTTCCTAAACCATGAAAATAATTTTCTAGAAATATCATCTTGAAAACTATATAGACAAATAAGTTTGGAGCACAAAAAAATGATCACAGATCACAAGTTGTCACAGTAAGTCTCAATTGTTCAGGTATGAAATGGTATTCTACGAATTAACAAATGGATAATACTATTTTAGGGCATATATTTTTTTAAATAGCAATTTCCTGACTTGGGATTTCGTAACCTTGGCAACTAATCAGCTTCATATCTTTAGATTATGAGTAATCAAAATCTTCATTAAAATATTTCAAATTACAAATGATAGAAATTAGAGATACGGGTATAAGAAAAATGAAAAAATACATCTATGAATGAATGAATAGTCTGAGTAATGGAGAGAATCAGATAAATGAAAAAAGAGAATAAGTGAAAGAAGTGACAAATGAAAAAAAAAAACAGAAAATGAATGGCGGGAACAAGTGAATAAGTAAATTTAGGAAGGTATGGTATAAGAATGGGAAAATACATGAAAGAAAAAAAATGAATTGATGAACATAACATGCAGAATGAATTAATGAATGAAAATATTTAACGAATAAATAAATGGCTAAAATGAAAGCAGTAAATATGTAAAAACAATGAGTAAGTGAACAAAGTGGATGAATTGATGAATAAATATAGTACGGACAGCTAGATGGATAGGTGGACAGATATGCAAATAACTTAACAGACAAAAATATAGGGAATGGATAGATATACAAATAAATCAAATGGAATAGGCATGATGGAATGCCAGGTTTAACCCTTAATGGGAAAACGTTCCAGCAATCAAATAGAGTAGGTCTTAAGACTTTACATTTCGCATTTTAGTTAAATCTTCAACTGTATATTTAAATTTGTATTTTCTTGTTTTGTCATTAATCATTGGCTCGCAAATACAGGCATTGATGTGGATTTTGTGTACAACCTTTTAATGAAGATATTATATTTTATATTATTATACATTTACTACTGTCTAGTATCTGTTAACCAATCCGATAAATTACATGCAAGGACAAGAAAATCTTGTCTAAATATTTACGTAATAAGTAATAACATACCCATCAAGCTCAGCAGTTTCAACGTAAACTACGCTATGCGGCTCGCTACTAGATAATACAAGGATGTCGGCCGTCACAAAGTCATTATTATACAGTTTAATGATATCCCCAACTTGCACATGGTGCCACTTGGTCGCCACTAGATCACGCTTTGTGTCTCTGATGGATTAAAAAAAAAAACGATCAGACACGAGAAACTGCATTGCTATGACATACTCTACATAATGTTCTGCATCAATGTTCGTCAAAAGCATGCTTGAACATACTTTCAATGTTGAAAATTGAAGATATATTTTAATTGACTGATTGATTGACTGACTGATTGATTACTGTGAGCATACGTTAATTCTGCCAATCACGCTGCAAATTTAAACATCCTGATAGTTGCGCTACATTTCTTCTGGGTTCTTGCACATGCAAGGTCATCCCCGTGACTACGAGAACAACTCCCTCACTTAGGCACATACCAGGTGTTGGGCAACAATAACCTACACTGAACAGGTTCAAAATACTTTTAACTTATATACCTATACATAGGTCACAAATGAACTCCTGTAGAAACAGATAAACATAGTCTCTATATTACTTGAAGCCTGAACTACATCACAAATATATCCACAATCATTTGGCTGTAAAGCCCAAACACAAGGGAAATAATTTCAAATTTTAAATTCATCAAAAACAAATATTTTTTACATTTTTCTAATGAAGCATATTACCTTTCACATTAGTAATAATAAATAAAATTTCTATAATCATATCCATTTCAAAGAAATTCTAAATGCACTTGAGACAAAAGAAAATAATGCAGTGTATAAAACTATGTTTCTTTGCATATGACAATCAAAAATCTATTACCGAAATAATGGATTGCAATTTCAATTTAGTTTCTATTTTCTGTGTATATTTCCATATATTTACTGCAAATCGCAACAGTTATATATCAATTGTTTAATTATTTTCCATGGCATTTACAGCTAAGAAGATCCATACAATCTACTGTAAGTGACTAAATCAATAAAATAAACTATAGAAATAATGAAGCAAGTTTAAATCGATTGGATTTGCACTGAGACCCATCTAATTATAATAAATTCCTTCATGCTATCAGAATTATAAAAGATATTCATCAGTGAGAGAGGTAGAATAATATATTATTTATTGATTTTATCATTAATTACAATAACACTGGGATAGTGATGTTAAGTAGTATTGAATGAGAGAATGTCATAATTGCCAACAACATCTGTAACACTGATATTCATGTTAAGAATATTAAAAGACAAATTGTTATCAATAATCACCAAATGGCCAATGCTAAGAAATATTGAATTACAATTTGAATAATATTCTTCAATAGGTATAGCACTAGTTGACTGAAGAACCGAGCTCATCTCAAGAAAAAGTATTGTGTGCAAAGGTATATTTCTTGTAAAGGCACAAAATTTAATACAGAAACGTTATAATAATAACAATAATAAATTTTATTTTCAAATGGAATCTGTAGGCATAAATTAGTACTTGTTGACATTGGCTTATAAATACAGGACAAGATTTTGCAATTTCTAAAAATAAGGTTCTGTTAACCATACTTACTACTTTTAAACATTACATTACATTTATTTAAAGAAACTAATGTACTTAGAGGTCAAATAAAAAAAAGTATACTTACTGGCAAACCAATATTTCTGCAGTTCTATTGTTAACTGTCCCATCGCTTTTGTGTCTTTTCTGCAAATGAAAACATTTTCAAAACAAATCATTAATTTCATTTATTGAATTAATAGATGCCCTTTAATATTATATGAAACCATATATTATCATACAATTTGATTTTTGTATTAATGCTTCCAATTCCCTTTTATATTTTTGATACTATGTTTCTATTTTTAATGACATTGTTCTCAAATTTTGCTTTATTCTAATCAATTTAATATGGATTTTGGAAAAAAATTGAATGTTAATGGTCTACTTATTATAAAATGTCGCAAAAATACTATTGTGTCAATAAAAAAAATTACACTATGCACATAATATTAAAACTCAGATACAGTAAACGCAACGAAACACCATCAAAAACTGCTAATGATTACAGGACAATTTGAGAAAGTTTAACTATACTTCATACTTACATAATCATCGATGCCGTCCTTAACTGCCGATACAGTTAGTACAAATACTAGGGGTAAGGCTGTCGTTACAGGGTTTAACGATGAAACTACATCAATGAACTGCAAATGAGAAGTTTTACTATAAGTTCATAATATAATTATTTTCATCTTATAGTATACAATGCAATACATTGCAATGGTAGAAAAACATGTGGCAAAAAAAAAAGGCTACAATGCAATACATTGCAATGGTAGAAAAACATGTGGAAAAAAAAAAGGCTATATTTACATGACCCTATAGGAAGAAGGACCCCTTACCCAAGTAAGACCTACAGAATATCACTGTAATATCTTAATGCATTTAAACAGCTATTAATTAACCTAATAATATATTCATACATTCATTCGGTACTTTACTTCTGAATAGATTTCCATACAACACCACAAAATAAACTTGTGAAAACTCGAACTAAGCATCCCGAGGTAGGAACGTACAAATCGTAAGGCCGAAGCCTGCATAATAATAATAATAATAATAATAATAATAATAATAATAATAATAATAATAATAATAATAATAATAATACGTAATTTTGTGATTTTCTGTGAATGTGAGCCATTGATCTTTTCGCCCCAAAATTTCTTCATATTTTTCTCAGGTAAATGTGTACTACTCCACAAAATTTTATGACGGTTCAGTTAATAGTTTCAACAAAATCCTGCTAACAGACAGTCAAATGCTGGTAAATACACAGGCAGAGGTATGTATGTTCTTCGAAAGCAATTAATAAATTACTCAATTTGGTTGAAGAGGAATTTATGATACATACCACAGGCATACTTAGCAATTAGATCTATCTTATAAATCAAACCTAAATTATCTAATAATTGAGGGTCTATTCATCTAAGTTGTCTACAGTATGTCTCTAGCTACACTGAAACAGCAAATGATTTGAATTCATTAAGTCTATACTACAAAAAGTCTACTAAAACTTTTTTATGACTTTCTTTTAATAAAACTTTCTATGGTAGTCTATAAAAAAATTCTTTGGTATGCATTACAATATTTTGCGAGGATTGCTTTCCAATTCCAAAGAGCTGAGGGTGAGCTTGTACAGCAAAAAAAGGTTTGATACATTTTATTCTGATTACCTCCTCCTTTAGATTGGACATTAAACTCTTCATTCTATGTGTAAAATACCACAAGCAAAGTGGGTGTAGACTGGGAAAGGGCAGACGCTTTCCCGCCCATTGAGACAAATTTGTTCCAATTTAAGTGGTTTAAAATATTTAAAATGACCTATGACTTTTCAATGGAATACATTTTTAGTTCCGCATTCTCAATTTCCATACCCCTAAACCGAAGCCAACCACTACACAAAAACTGTCTAGTGTGCAATCCACAAAAGGTAGGGGGATTGCCTCCCAGTGTACTAGTCATAACCGCAGCACTGCTGCCACCATTTTCTCATCCAAATTCCTATTCAAATTTCCTTGTTGAATTTCAACAATAATACATATTTCTTCATATTTTAAAAACATTAACATAGCATATGTTTAGGAGTGACATTTTCGTATGCCAGAAAATAGATCTTACCTGCAGTATTAACAGTATTAAGAAGTAAAAATTGGCAATTCTCATAAACTGCTCAAATAAATTTATTGGAATAAATGTGAAAATGTTGTACTTGGAAGTCTTGATATAATTATTCTGAAAAAAAAAAATCAAATCAATAATCATTATTTAAATTTAATCATTAAGTACTTATGAAAACAAATTAGTTTGATTTTAAAATTAATGTGAAGATGTTGTACTTGGAAAGTCTTGATATTATAATTACTCTGAAAAAAAAATCAAATCAATAATCATTATTTAAATTTAATCATTATAATAATAATGAAATAACAATAGTTTGATATTAAAATTAATGTGAAGAGGTTGTACTTATTCTGAAAAAAAAAAAGAATAAATTTCTTCATTACTTAGTAATTTCAATTATTAAATACCACAGGATCTGTGTAAATACTGATGAAAAAAAAATGATATAAAAATTAATGTGAAGAGGTTGTACTTGGATGCGGGTGGGCATGAGAAACTAATTAATTTTTTTACTTGGCCTACAGTATTATTCTTTAAAAAAAATTAATTTAAGTCATCATGGAGGAGAGCTATTTCATTGATTGTGCTCATGCTAGATGAGACAACAAACCACATTTAGCCACCACGGACACATCAATAACATAAGTCTAACATGTATAACATGCTCATAATATCACATTAAGGTATTTATTCTTTCTGTCTTCGCGACACTTTTATGACGTTTTAGGTTCGTGATTGAACATTTTCAAGAAAATCAATTTCATGATGACTCGCCTCAATTAAAATTTTACCGGTGAATGTAAACATTGTAGTAATGGGATGGTTAAATGCTTAAAATTTATACAATTAGGAAGAAATATACACATCTTTTTATTGGAGATTTCAAGGCAGTGGTGGGCATAATGAAAATAAAATTTATAAAAACTTTTTTTTTTTTGCTGCGTTATGGAGAGTAATGTGTGACCGGAAATGGTCTGCAGTCAGTTGGTTGTTACCATGCGCCAGTGATGTTGGAGTACAGCAAGATGAAACTCTTTATGCAATGCATGAATAAAGTTCAGGGTTTGTCGGGTAGTGAAATGATTATTGTACATTTTAAAAGTGCTCCCTCAATGCATAAGTGCAAGCTAAATTACGGAGATTAACTAGCGTAAAGTATTTATTATATTATTATAAGATCTGGAGACAATTATTTCAAAGTTCCCTCTTTCCAAGAGGGGATGCAAATGCTTTGTGAAAGTGAGTACGCCGCGGTACTCATTTTCACAAAGGTACACACACACAACTGGTTAGCTAACAATATGCAAATGTTACATGAACACCTGGGAAGGAAGGTGCAATCACGTTGTGTTGGCTAGTAAACATCTGTATTGCAGCGTTGGGGGGGGGCTACTGATGTACTATAGCGGGGGACGATGAGGCATAATTAATAAGAATAGGCCTGGGCCTAAGTGCAATTATATGTGATAGAAAGTACACTTTCGAAAGAAATAAATTAAAATAAGAAAAAAAATAACTAAGAATAATTCAGTTGCAGACGTATTATACAATGCTAACAATGCGCCTCTTATAGCCCTAGCTAGGCAAGTCATGTGCAAAGCAGTGGTGTTTGTTTATCCATGAAAAAAGCACGCCAGGAAAGTTTGCTTTGCCAGGAAAAGGTGATGTAATCTAGTTATGACGTATGCATGCTAACTATATTGTGAGTGTGACGTCACCAAAAAATAAAAATTTTCTATTATAACCAAAATATTATTAACTACAAGGTTTGTGGGCGTAAATTCCCTTAATACGAACTAAGGGTACCACTATCTCCTTGCCATACAAATTGCAGCTCCCACTGACGTCTCGGTCGAGAAATATGGGTAGCTGAAGTTTTTCTCGCAAATCTGACTACGAAACCATATCGAAATTTCACGTTCCATTTCTGACTCTGAGTTGTGCTTCGCACACGCTGCTGAGGGCGGCGTTCCGGGAACCCTGCGTCTAGAGCAATGATTACTTAAGTCAGACCTAATGTGTAGCTTCATACAGACAATATACTGACACAAACATTTGGGTCATTTACAACGACCTTTTTAAAGAATTAAGACTGATCATTTTCTGTATTAAATATTTGATCAAAATTCTCATTTATATTAGATACCTAGTGCACGATAGGAATTGTATTTCATGCCCCGTGGATAATTGAAAACAGAGGTATGAAGATTATTTATGGCTGGTCAGAGGTTGCATAAGTTTGACTGTTATCATTACTAACTAATGGTAAAGCTCATCTTACAATCTTCTCATATTTTATTCTCTAATAAATTCAGGCTCACTGATTAAAAACAATAATGGGTATCTCCTACGTATAATAATGATATTGTTTTCTGTTTTTCTGTTTTTCATGCATACTTATTATTAGTTGAAAAGAAAATGCGCTATATTCGTTCACTTAATTTCACTTAACCTACATGGGATGCGGTGGATGTCATTTCATGACTGGAATATTATCGATAATAATGAAAAAACATGACTATGATGATGAATATAATGATCTAACAGATGATAATGATGAGGACGAGAATGATGATGATGATGAGGATGAGGAAGATGATGATGAGGATGAGGAAGATGATGATGAGGATGACCATGATGATGATGATGATGATGAGGAAGATGATGATGAGCATGATATGAGGAAGATGATGATGTGCATTTTTTTGCTTTGAAATCTTTGTATGTCATGTCTTTTAAGGATGAATATAAAAAAAAAAAAAAAAAAAGATGATGAGGATGAGGAAGATGATGATGATTATGATGTGTTATGATACAGCTTGTATGCTCCCCTCGAGAGTCCTAATGACTAGAGGATATAAGAGGTCAGGGGCTATATTCATCATGGCGTCATGCTAGACGACCGTTGTTTACATAACACAAAGTTATGATGTTTGATGATTTTTGAATAAATGTTCATCCGTTGTTACATATATGGCTCATGATCCATCAAATATGAGTATAACAGATGATGATAATGAGGAAGATGATGATGAGGAAGATGATGATGAGGAAGATGAGGATGATGAGGATGATGATGAGGATGATGATGATGACGAGGATGATGATGAGTAGGAGGATAATGTTTTTGATGATGATGATGATAAACAGTGATGATGGTTACACCATATTTTATTTATTGTCTAGCTAATTATCTATACTTTTACCTATTTTGAAATTCAACTTCAACTTTATTTTCCAATAAGTGTAAGTAATATAAAATTCAAATAAATAAATAAACCAATATAGGAAGTAATTTAGCTCACAAATAGCACATTTACTTATTGTTTTTTAACTTAAAGCTTCACAAGTAATTGAAATTAACTAGGTTACATTCCACGCAAACCCTGTCCCGTATAACATGTCCAATCAAATTAAAACAACCAATTCAATTACTCTAAATTCTTTCACAACTTCCCTATACCTAATGAAGCTGGTATAGACTACAGTATTACTACTATTATTATTAATATATATATAATGCACTACTTCCCTAAGGCTCATAGAGCTTACAAGCTTCTGAGAAGAGAAAATTCTCACGGCAAGAAAATCTCTAGAGATATCTTCCAAGACTGATTTTCTAATACAGGTATATGCGAGTAGATTGTTCCACCACATTTTTCCACAAACAGTGACTGTCCTCTTGCTAGTAGTAAGTAGCCTGCTTTTAAAACATTTTTAAAGGTACTTTTTTCAAGCAATAATAAATCATTAAAAAAAACCCAAACTTATACAAGGAGATAAAGAGGAAATGTTGAGGAAAATATTCCATTATTAAATTACAATTTAATATTCAGTTTCATGTATGAATATGTAGTGTTGACATTAAATATTATTCTTGATAGCAAGGACAAGTTCATGACTTTTGCATATCTACCATCTGTTGTTAGATAATTATTCTAGATAACTATTCTAGATGAATGAGTAGCATTAAAAAAGTATATAAAAAAATGATTGTATTTTGGCTAAATCAGTGGCAAGATCAGTAAAATGTTGCGCCATCCTAAACTATATACTGTAGTCTCTCCATATGTAACCCACCAGGAATTTCATTTCAGGGTTCTGAACGAAACTCTTGGTGCCCTTTGGTTCATTTCCCCTCTGTCAGACTAGTTGGATTACCGTCAGAAATTTTCTGGAGCCACCACTTGGCTAAATATAATGTTTCTATTTTTAAAGTGTTACTGTGGAAGAATTCATATGTTGCAGCAGTATAGGGCTTAAATTAAAATATTAAAAAATCAACGGTAAAAATTTGAAGACTGTCCACTTGTTCGTGTACATAAGTACAGGATGACATGTTTCCTCTCTTCACCTGGTAGGTACATGGAAGGTTTCAATACTAATGCAGTGATTAATACCATCACATTATGAAATCCTCCCCAGGGGGTTGACTGTATAGGTGTTTATCTAGTGAACGGGTGTAATAATATGAAGCTAAATAGAGGCTGTGTAATTAATACTGACCACCTCCCTTTATCATTAGTATTTGTTGTACACGGAATAAATTGATTTTATTTTATTGACCTCGTTCAAAGTAAAGCAGCAGAAATATATTGGTCAATGGAAACAAAATAAGATTGGGATAAAATCAAAAATATAAATACATACAAATTAATTTTTGCTCTGATCCTAGAGAATTACAGATTAAGTAAATACTATAATTACTATATTAATTTAGATACAGTATTGATATTGTTTTTTATTCCTTTACTGAATTTAAAAAGAAACATATTCCTTGTATTCTTTAATGTTAGGGCAGGATAATTGTTGTTTGCATCTGTTTTTTTTTATCCATCCTGTAAGTGTTGGGTTCGTAATCGTTACTGCTGTGGAGTTGAAATGAAATAAAATAAAAAATAAAATAAAAAAATAAAAAATGGTTTTTTGAAATTTTATGAATGATGCATTGATGATGACAGACCTCAGTTGGAATTATTAACTATGTAATGCATTCCTTTTAAAATAATTATAGTATAATTAATATGATGAATATAAAGATCATAATACAAACTCCCCAGCGATTAAGGTAATAAGCCAGAATATCGATGCAAATTTTTGTCTCATTTCATTTATTGATTAGCAGCAGTCCATAACAGTGTTGTAGTAAGTCAGCTTTCTATGCTCAGCCAGCTTTTGCCCACGACAAATATCACCATTGTCTATTGATTTCACCATGGTACGGGCAAACAAATGTCGAGGAGTATATAGTGACTAACATGTGTTGATATTCTCACTGTAGCAAAAATATGTCACGATTCCTATGACTTACTGCCTTAATTAACTGAATGTGTTTCCATACAGTATAATAATGATGATATTGGTCAGATGATGAGTAAATGCACTTTGACCCACAAACACCAGATTAATGACATTTCACCTAATTTCATGGATTTTTTTTTAATTCTTAGGTGCTATTCACCTATCTTGCCACATGGTTAGTTACTTTAGGACATTATTGGTTTACATACAATGTTTAAAGTGGCAAACGAATGTAAACATGTTGCTGGTTGAGAGAATCATAAATCATTAAAGATCAGCTGCTAGCTAGCAGCATAATTTAAATTCAATTTATCTATCATCATATATCAACATATATAAACAATGCAAATTTGCATTCTTTGGTGAAGGGATGGGAAAATATTACAATATTATTCATGAAAATAAACATGAAATAAAGAGAGAAGACAATGGTGAGAAAGATGACGATGATGGCATATCTCATTGTCTGTGTCATCTCGGTGCCTCTGGGTACTTTCTGATGTCACAAAGATATTAATTTATATAGTAATTCATTAAAAAAAAACTACACAGGGAATAAACTTAAAGCATAACATGTTTTTTTAGGATCTGGCATAACAATTATGTATGATAATAAATGTACAATGAACTTTCAACATATTGTGACATGCCCTGATGCGTTTTTTGATAGAAAAATCTCAAACAACAGTTAACATAAATTGGCAATTCCATGCAAAACAGGACATAGCACCTAAATTTTTAAAATAGTGGTATCCTACCAAATTTGATATCAAATTAAAGATGAAATTCTGAACTTTCATGAAATGGTCTTAGTTTTCAAATTTGTATACTCACTTAAATTTTATATAAGAAATACAATTAATATTATTTTTTTTCTAAAAAATGAATAAATTAGGCCAACTTTTAGAGTGTTTAATTTATGCTCTTTAACATATATTACCAACATAACTGATTGGATTAGTAATTATTAACATTATATGTAGTATATTCATGAATTTATTTTATTTTGCGTACTTCGTTCCGCTACAGCGACTTGACGATGAACTACCATATAAAATGTCCCGAAGTTACCAAAAAAGTAATATTTTTTTTAATTTTTCAAAAGGTACTTAACAAAATTTTAAAAAATTTATTATTCAAATCATAAGCATATATGTGAACAACTTAAACATGAATTGAAATAAAAAATTATTTCGTTTACTAATTATAGCAATTTAAAAAGTGTCCTGACATTGCTTTTTTGGTAACTTTGTGACGGTAACACTGTGACATCCTATTTAAATGCACAGGGGACAATTCCATGGTAACTTCGAGACACTTTGACACAAAATTTTAGACTTTATGTGCATACAATATATATAATTTATTCAACAAGCAATAATCACAGTTACACATTGTACTTGCTACTGCTACCTACATTTCTATTGAAAAAAAATCTACAAGCATATATTAAATATGAATTTTATTGTGTCCGATAACTTCAGAACATGAAATAGGACATAGAGTTTTAACTTAGTTTTTTAAACATAAAAGTCTGGGAAAAAGGCATATTATACACTTTTTGATACAGAATGCACTGAAGAGATATTTAGCTTTAATATGATATCCTTAATACAAATATATTGTAATGACTTATATTAATATAATGATCATTTTAAAAAATCATGTGATATGGACAAGCTATAAATAATCAGTAAGTTATACCTAATTGTTTATTTTTGTATACGCACTTGTAGAGTACAGAAACTGTGATACAGTAAAACCTCAAATTGAAGCCCTGGGCTTCTTTTTTTTGCAAACTTTGGATGGGCTTCTTTTTGAGGCCACTTTTGCAAAGTTAAAAAAGGGCTTTTCAAAATATATGCTGTAAATTTTCGGAATTAGTGCTATAAAATAATAAATAGGGCCACTGTAACATCAATCTGTATCATGGAGTGTATAAAAAAGCATGTTTTTAATTTATTTAGCTTCTTTGAAATTTATGTACAGTGTACGTACTGTACTAATACTATCTCGAAAAGCAGCCTATGTTATCTTCACTAGAAGTCCATGGGCTTCTTTTCAAGGCTAAATTTGCAAAGTAAATAGGGGGGCTTCAATTATAGATGGACTTCTTCTTGATATTATGCCCATTGGGCTTCAATTCGAGGTTTTATGGTATATCATTGCAAGTAATTTTAAATTTTGTAGTTTTATATTATCAGTTTTTTTAATGCATTTAAGTTTTTTTTTTCTAGTGAGTGCTAAATAAAATATTGTTGTTGACACTCTTCAATATACATAATATATATATAATAATTATACAGTATAATTATTGTGTATATTATTATTATTATTATTAAAGTTAGCTACTGCGATATAATTTTTAATTTAAAAACATTCTTAAAAAGTGATACAAATGTAAAATATGACCAAATCGGGAATAAATTAACAAAAATATGAAAACTGTTTTAAAAATTGCTTTTATTACATCTGATAATACTGTAGTCAGCATTAAATCATGTTTGTTTTGTACAAATTAGATAAGAATCCAACATTTGTTTATGTTTTAAGACCTTTTTAAAAGAAAATTTATTCATCATTATGATGTCAACCTTTTGTCCGGAAGTTACTGTCCTGAAGTTACCACATGATTTTTAAAAATGATCATCATAATTATATACGTCATCATAATATATTTTTATTAAGGATATCCTATTAAAGCTTAATATCTCTTCAATGCTTTTCATATCAAAAAGTGCATAATATGCCTTAGTTTCACAGACTTTTATGTTTAAGTAAATAAGTTAAAATTCTATTCCTATTTCATGTCCTGAAGTTACCGGAGATATTAAAATTCATATTTAATATATGCTTGTAGATATTTAAAGTTTTTTTCAATAGAAATGTAGGTAGCAGTAGCAAGTACAGTGTGTAACTGTGATTGTTGAATAAATTATATATATTGTATGCACATAAAGTCTAAAATTTTGTGTCAAAGTGTCCAGAAGTTTAACCGTGGAATTGCCCAAATTTTCTGCAATTTGGCCTTACTATGTCTGCAAATATAGTAAATGTTTAATAATTTTATATTCATTTCTTATTGCATTGAATGAATTGAAAGGGTAAAATTCACAGTTAATTTTCTTATATACCGTAAATATTTTTTAAACATTTGATATTTCATTTGAATTAAGAGAAAAAAATTAATTATTTACTATATTATTATTATTTTATTTCTACCCAACATCAAGTGAATAAATCAATAAGATGAAGACAAGATAGATTAAAATAAATCGGAAAACCAAGACTTTGCACAACTCACTAAATGATAATGTGAACTATGATCTTTGAATAAAGTGGAGAAACATACTTTTCTTCAAAAGTAGAAGATATAAATGACAAAGTTAAACATGAACAACGACTTTAAGCACCTAACACCTGATTTTTCACTCGGATATATCTCACCATTAATCGCTTTAAAGGTACATCTTCAAATTTCAAAATCACCAGAGCTCATTAAACTTTAGCCTTGTCAATGTCTCATAATTCTTTGTTAAAAACCAAACCATAATTTGCTTGATTTTGCTTACAATCTTGGTGGTGTTATCCTCTTTCATCAACAGTTCACATGCTGTTGTATTATTCTCACCAATTCTCACTTTCTTACACATTGTATGTAACCTATTTTTTTTTAATGTCTCACAACATCTTTCTTACTTATGCCTCACAATTTCTCATTGATGCTCACAATCACACCTACTGTAAGTAACTTCTTCCTCATTAATGTTTCTCTTCATCTTTCGCATACCTACACCTCACTTATTGTTTGTTTTGCTCACCTACTGTATGTAACATCCAGCTCATAAATGCCCCACAACCTCTTGCTCATCAATTGTGCACAACCTCATTTAATCAATATCTCACAAAACACATGTTAATCTCTCATCAGTGCTTCAGCCTCTTGCTCATCAATTGCTCACAACCTCATTTAATCAATATCTCACAAAACACATGTTCATCTAAACATCACAAAATTTCTCATCAGTGCCTCGGCCTCTTGCTCATCTATTGCTCACAATCAATAACTCACAAAACATGTGTTCAGCTAAACCTCACAAAACCTCTCATCAGTGCCTCAGCCTCTTGCTCACCAATTGCTTGAAACGTTTTTCTCATCAAGGCCTCATAAATTTTTCCTTATTAACAACTCAGACATAATAACCTTTTACTCATTAATTCCTTTTGCACTGGTGGTAGCCGATGTATGTGCAATGAACCTACAGTTTAATTCCGTTGAAAAGATACACTCTTCAACAAAGAGAGTTATTGTTTCTCAACTTAATGGTCTGGTCATGCATTTTTATAGCACTTTCCACAATAAAAACCATCAAGGCACTTTTAAACCACTAAAAACTACAATAACAATAAATTTATCGATGAACTGCCCAATATCCCATCAATAATAGAATGGTATTATATGTTGTTAAGGTTGATTTTAGTTCTAGAATAAAGGTAGCCATAAAAAATAAGTTTATCATCATTGATGGTTGGTGCATGGAATAAGTTGTAATATAAATATTTCAATGATATACTGTATATAATGTAATTATACTCACTGCATATTTAAATTGAGAATTGAATGATCGGTCATTTGCCTTCACAACCCGTCCACAATCTAATAATGAATGCAAAAAGTCAGTCAATTCAAGTTTAAGTAATACTAAGAATAGCAAGGATGAAAAGATTAAAATGTTTATAAAGTTAAGGATTCAAATTTAATTAGCATCCTTGACTATATTGTAATTACTACATAAGAAAGTCCTTAACTCCTTGATTGTATACTGTAGCATTGTTCTATGTTAAAGATGCAAGGTTTTAATGGAATTTTGTGGACAATTTTTCAATTGTTTTGGCAGGTAGGGTATATATAATTTATTAGATATCCAATAGCACCAATAAGTATACCAAATACAGTATAATGTACCAATGACATCAGTACCAAATAGAAGAAGTGAACAAACATATTGAGTAGTTACCTGGAGTTGCAGCCATTGTGTATCTTTGGCCGTTTAGTTCTGTCCACTATGAAGGGAAATCTACAAAAAAATATATATATATAAATAAATAATGATGCATCATTACAGTACCTGTAATTATATAATTGAATAATTATTCATTTGTTATTTAAATATTAAACCAGACATTAAAGTCATGGAAACTACATTAAACACACTGTACAGCAATTGAGAATATCAAATGAGAGTAAGATATCAATATAAATTAATACACAAAAATTTATTAAATGTCTAATGAAAAAAGAATGCAAGAATTAAGTTCAAGAACAACAAAAGTGATAATAAATACAAATTTGCAAAATACAAAGTAAAATGTGTTTAACAATGAATAAATATTACAAAATCCAATAAATACTGTAGGCAAATGAAAGTAATTATTTACTATACTGTTGTTCACTGGTAATGAATAATATATTACAAAGTATTAATTCCACTCCTTTGTCCTCCAGCACCACAGTATTTTATACAATGTCACCTACTGTATAACACTGCCAAACACTAAACAATAAGTAACTATCTTGCTAGTTCTAATAATAACGGCTATAGGCTTACATACAAAATATATATATTAAGGATACACCCTGTCCTAAGCGATGGGGATGGTATTCCAACTTTTTATCAATTTCTATAAAACACATAATGTGCAGACAGACAATAGGTACATCTATGTATAGTACTGTATGTCTACTACTACTACTACTAAAGATAGTAGTTAATTTATAAATTTTAAAGACAGGTTATTGATACAATGGTATCAATGCTCTGTTTTCTGAGTCAGTAATGTGTAATGAGGTACTCAAAGAACATGTTATTGTACTGTTAATATGGATAATAGCTTTTCATGGATGCGGAAGCATGTAATGAAATTTCTAAGTAATAAGCAACTGTGGGTTCATCAACATCGAGAGCACATAACTATGTTTTTCAAGGATTTAACATTTTACAAATATTCAACACTTTGCACAGGGAGGATCTGTCGTCTGCCACCACCACATTACAGCAAGAAAAACAAATTTATGAATTACCGGTATGAAATATCGAGGTTACAATAGTAGAATTGAAATTGAATCTTCCTTCTTGAAAACTTACAATCTAAGATATACACAGGCTGTGCAGTACCTCAAGCAGGCATCTCTACCATATATTTTTTTTAAGTTCCTAGTAGGACAGTTCTATATCACAATTATTGTCAGAAATATACTAAGAGCTACTACTGTATATTGATATTTTCATTTTGGAATGGAGAATCTTCATGGTTTATGAAAGTCGATCCCATTTTAATGGGTTAATTAAAACTTTCCTAAGCATTATTAATCAAATATTATTAGAGTACCGTTTCATCATTGATGTGTGTACTTTCTACTGGATGTGTTAACAACCTACATGTACTGCACCGACGTGTAAAGCTGACATGATTCAATGGAAAATGCAATGCAACAAGGTGCATGCAATGGACCATATTTAATGACAATCTGCAGTCTGCTATCAACACATTATCAATACGTTGGGGTGCAGTGATGTTAGATATTGAATGAAATGCTTTCATTTTTATTAAATTAAAGCGAATAATAAATAAATTTTGTTCGATATAATGTATGCTTTTAAGTATTCAAGGGCAAAAGGATTTAAATAATGACAGCACAATCAATTACAGATAAAACTTACTAAGCCACTAAGAATGCCTTATCCTTCTCATGAACACTGTGTAATTCAAATACATCACTCACAGAGAGGAATCTGTTTAGCATGTTCCATGAGATTAAACCACTGATTCTACAGTATACAATTCATTCATATTCAAAAATTCTGTCAGCTCTATATCACTAGCTGTGTGATTGAGATACAGGTCCTACGTAAAGTAGTTATAAACTAGAAGAGATACAGGTCCTACGTAAAGTACATTAGTTATAAACTAGAATTTATATAGTGCCTATCACAACCTGCAGATTATACAAAGCGATTATACAAGGCACTGGCATTATTATTTCTCTGGTCACTAGATACTGAGTTGGCTGATCTGCACATTGTGCAACTTTCTCTGCTCTCTGAGGAGTATCCCTGTCATTGCTGCTTATATGCACACAAACCATGTACATAAATTTGCCAGACCATCATACCAGGTACCCATTTACAGTATACTACTGGGTGAAGAGAGTCTTGCCCCAAGGACACAAGAAATGCAATGAGCGTTGGTCTCGATTTCCTGATCTCACAATCAGAAGTTGAACACCATACATGTTGCACCATTCGCGTGTGGTCGGAAGATCCACATGTGACTATCACATGGGAATCACTAGTTCCCAACTCTGAATAAGAAAATTAAGTAAGAAAGAATGCAATATCTTTGGGATGCTGTGAACATTACTTTCAATACTTAACATTTGGTAGATAAATACAATAGGATAACTAGACAACTGAACATTCACATTTTAATAGCAAAAGTTGGAGCAATTTTGTATCAAATTCCTAGTCAGGGGCGGATCCAGTAGGGATCACGGGGGGAAAGTGCCCCCCCATTTTGCTACTAAATTTTAAAAATTTCAACACAAATCAATGTTATGTGCTCTCACTTACCTATTCTGAAACTGTTGTTCCCCCTCCTCCCGTTTTGAAAAATTCTGTATCCGCCCCTACTAATAAAGTTTGCAATGCCATCTTTGTGGTGAACATGGCTTGATAATGTAAACAATATAATTCATTGTATATCATATAGTACTTTGATCATTTAATTGATATATTTACTTTCTTACGTACTGTAAATAGAAAGATACAGTAAGGAAAGTTGAAGTTGGAAAATCCCTAGATATTTTGGCTATGTACAATAACTAACACTTATCTCAAAATGTAAATATTCCTTGTAAAATAACACAAGTGGAGGGGTTTGAAGCTCAAAATAAACCTATAGCTTAGGTCAAGATGCTCACCTTCCAATACCATAGTTCTGGGCTCAAATCCTGTAAAATGCTAGAAATTTTCCTCATGATTAAAGTCGAGCACACTGTCGGCTGCAGCTGCCGAGTCTAGCTCTGCACCTACAGTAATGAAGCCAGCACAGGCTGCTGGTGAAAGCTTGTGTGAATGAATACTATAGTTGGTCAATAAAGTGCCAGTGTTTAATTTTACATAGTTATACCTGACTAATATGGCTCCACCTACTAACCTACTATTATATACAGTATGCTCTATGTAAATGCAAATCCAAGGAGCTGCCAGGCTCAGCCTGCCATTAAGAATGCTGTACAGAGAGCATCTCACACAATTGATGAGTAAACTACTGTAGCTGACAGATGTGAGAGACATCTTTTTAATAATCAAAATCATATTAATGGATTCCGGATGGCCACTCAAATGTTCTTAAATAAGTACTGCTATGACAGCTTGCTGATAGCAATCAAATATCAAGTGCACCACTCTAGACAAATTATAATCTGTCAACATTATTCATTCATTGCATATTACCAAATACAGTAAAAATCCAAAAGATCTAATTTAACGAACTGAAGCTCTCTTCTGAGCATTTAAAGCAATTTACTATTAAAGACATTCATTCAATTATCAAGACCGTTGATAATTATAAGAATCATGTAACAGTACATGAGACTTTCTTGAAATTCAAAGCAGTTTGTAATCAAACATTAAATCAAAAGACCTTTAAGAGTACAATTAATCTTTATCTTGACCTTAAAGCGATATGCACAAGCAATAAAAATTGAAAAATACCCAAAATAAAACTGCTTTTAAAAGAGTACAGTAATACTTCTTTTCAAAATAACGTAATTAATTATCATCCAATAATCAATTAAATTATACTGTACAATGACAAGAACAAATAAAAAAAAAATATGTGCTACAAGGGAGAATAAAAGAAACCAACTTCATCTTCATGTATAACAAGTAATACAGAAGGTTTCAATTCTACATATGGCTAGATAAGCTCATGGGCAGTTCTGGGAGGTAGGGAGAAGAAAGATGATAAGGATAGATGCCAGTCCTACCACTTCCAAAAAAAAATTCCTAAGCCTTCACACCAAATATTGAAACAAAGTAATGTTCCCAAAAGAGCATCTACAGTATATCTTCTTATTCTGACCCTTGTTCGTCCTAGCATGTAATCATTATCATCATACTCTGGGGTTAGAAACTTGTGTTCAAATTCTGCTCCTTGTTGAAGTCCTTCAAATTCCAGCTCTCTGTGGTTTAAGCGCATCCAGGAGTCCTTGTTCAAATCCTTTAAATCCTGTTATGGTGACAACGCCATTGCTTGTCTTCTAATTATCATTATTAAATTATCATGACTTCACAATTACTAACTCTGCTACAGTAGTACTTACCAGAATTATTGGTTGATGAAATTCTGCATAAAAGTGATGACTGTGAATTTGACATCCAAGCAATACTATTCAGTTCCAGAACGAAAAACCATCAAAAAAGATGAAAACTTAAGCAACTTTCTTTATCCAGCACCCAAAGATAAGCGTCATATTTTTCCACTCTTTCTTAACAATAAGCATTACGTCAAACACAAAGTCAATCAATAAACTTGAGAAAAAGCACCACAATATATGATCAATATATTTTATAAATACTGTGTTGCCATAGAAACCTTTATCATCGTGTGCTATATATGCACGAATCAAATTCATAGATACAAATCGATAAAGTTTTAATATTGTTTGTTGCATTATCCTAAAACAAATACCAGTATACTAGACCTATATTGGTTGGATTAGGAATTATCTTTTAATAAACTACTATACTTTATGTAATCAATATAATTTAATATAGGCAATAGTCTTATCATTATATTCAGCCTTTTTACAAGTTGATTAATAAACGAATTTGGAGGTAGATAGAGTACTGTACTTTATGTTATCAATATCAATTAGGCGAGATTTTTTTTTCTTGCAATCATATTTTTTAAAGATCGTCAGAGGAGGGCGGGAAAAACTAAATTTTGTTTTCTTATTTAGCAAATAGTTTTGCCAAAAACATCCAGATGGAGGAGAAAATAAAAATAAAAT